ATGTATTGCTTTCCTTTCGACGACGACCACGACCAGAGGTTTAGGAATTTAGGTTCGGGCTCTGATTCCCGCACCCTTCCCAAAAAGTTTAGGATTTAGGGTTTTAACCCCCTCACCTGGACTTACTTATGCTGCACAGTATTGCATTCCAAGAAGGGCGGCTGTGAATGGTTAAGCACACCTCTATCGATCAAACCCTAAAACCTAAACCCTAAACCCGAGTATCGAACGATCCGCTACGATCAATGCTACCAACACTTTATCGAATCGTTAATATATCGGTATTGATCGAACCGGTAGATTACATCTATGAAAATTTGGGGTTTAGGCTTTAGGTTTAGGGTTTAGGGTTACGGGCATCTATCGGGTCTAGGTCCAAGAACACCCAAGCCTATAGACCCAAACTAAAGCAGGTAAAGCCATGTTAAGCAAGCCCCGTACACACCCTAAACCCTCAACCCTGCACCCCACTTGGCCGTCGAAAAGACAATGTTGCAGGACAACGTGGGCTGAACCTAAGCCAAAAACCCTGAACCACCGTGCCTCAGACCCCAGAGCTTTCAGCTTCTCTAGGTTGCACCAGTTTCCTAAGAATAAAAGGCACCCTTTTCTGGCAAAGAGGACATATAAGAGATCCATCCCTAAACCCCAAAGCCTTCCAGCTGAGACAGCCGAGCGAAAGTTGATAGCTTGGGTGCAGATTGCCTCTCCCTACTGCTGCATCTCATCTTGAGACGCGCATGAGGCGCTTGAGCTGACTGACAGCTCACACGTAGCTGCACGAACCGTGGGACACAAACTCCATGTGCCGCAGTTTTTCAGGTACCCCCCCCCCCCCTACAATAGGACAGACCTCGGTTCTTTCCTGAAACAGGGATCCATGGATACCAAGCTATCTTTCGTGCACTGGCAAAGAATCACTCATGCCTCTACCCTATTAGTCCTCCAAGCGCGAAACCATACACAGTGCATTGCAGCAGCCAGGCTCCTCGAGATTCGATCCTAACTGCGTAACCCTAAACCCTAAACCCTATATCCCTTTTACTCCACACCCTGAAACCCAAACCCTAGTCACATCCCAGATCACTTGGCTCACATGGCAGATTGGGCGTTCCATTGTTTGGCTGGCAGGGCAATGCTGCACCCACGATGGGCCCGGTGCCGCAGCCCGTTCTCCTCGAAACCAGTCTGGTCCCGATTAAAGACAATCCTAAACCCAGAGCCCCAAGCTTCTGAAGGTTGTATTTGAGGGCCCCAGCCCAGGGGGGTCCCGGACCAGCGACCAGGGGGCGTCTGTTGGCTGCTGGACCCTCTGAAAAAAAAAATTGCTGCCACCCCCTCCCCTCGGCCCTGCTATACCCTACCTAGCTGGAACCTGAGACCCCCTAAATGGAAGAAGTTTTTGGAAGTGGGCGGTTGGCTTGAGTTTAGGCCTAAACCCAAGAGGAATAGGTTTGGTGGTTTTGCCGCCTGAGACGTGGGGTGGGATAAAAGTGTAGATGGCCCGCTACTATCGGGCCATTGCTGCTCTTCATCACATGTCACCAAGCTTTCGAAGCGAGTCTGCGTCCCAACCTCCACAGCTTCTGCGCCATATCACAGCAAACCCTAAACCCTAAACCCTAGACCCTAAACCCTACACCCTAACCCTAAACCCTAAAACCCTAAACCCTAAAACCCTAAACCTTAAAACCATCCCACAACCGGGGCCTGATCTTTTATGGTTGTGCGCTGCGCGTCCCCCCCCCCCCCCCATCCCCCCGCTCCCCCTCCCCGTTCTCGACAAAGCCAACCCCAACCTTTAAAACCCTAAACTCTAAAGCCCTAGACCCGAAACCCTGAAGCCCCCTACAAGCCCCATAAACTCCTTCAACTGCAACTCAGGAAAAGAAGAAGGCCAAAAAGAATGCCAAAAAGAATGCCAAAAAGGCCTAAAAGAGCATGAAAAGGGCTGGGTCCAGGGCCTAGGGTTTATAGGCTTCCTCCAAGTGTATTTGGGCTTAGGGCTAGAGGGCTCTGGAGTTTAAGGAGGGCCAAGCCATCTCGCCTCCCGCGCCCATGCCGTGTGAAACGCTTGTGTTTCGGGCCTGACAGGGAATCCTGATCAGAACCAGCGCCGGCCCAGTCGCCCTCGCGCATTTGTTCATGGCTTTTGGGCTTGTAAAGGTGTTTAGAGTTGCTTGGCTTGAGGGCTTTTAGGGTTTGGGATTTGCTTGGGTTCATTTCGGAAGTGTGGGCTGGGAGCTTGCAGGTCCTCGCGAATCACAAGAAGGCAGAAGCGCAAGGCCTAGCACGGCCAGTTGCCTCTGGCTCTTAGTAGGGCTTAGGGTTTTGGGTACCCTAAACCCTAAGCCCTAAACCTTGTAATATAGGGTACCTCATTCCCTCATTCCATTCTAAGAGCCAGTAAGATTGAGTGTTCAAGGTTCTTGGCAGCGTCGTTTGGATTACAGTTCAGCGGGACCTAAATCCTTTGTGGGTACCCTCAATACTAGGGGCCGCCTGATCAACCCCAAAAAACCCTTATTGAGCTCAGCCAGGGCTTTTGCAAGGTTTCGATGAACAGGCTTGGATGCCCAGTAGTGCCCTTATTCACTTTGGGGTTTCAAATTTCCGGATAAACCCCTTCAAGCAAAAAAGGGCACTCTTTTTAATCCTAGGTTGGGGGGGCTCAGCATGTAGGGTTTAGGGTCAGGGTGTAGCTTGTGGGGCATTTAGGGCTGTTGATTTCGGGTTTCGGGTGTAAAGGGTTTGCTGTTTAGGATTTAGGGTTAGCCCTAACCAAACTCTAAACCCAAACCCTAGCTTGTAGGGTGTCGAGTGTTGAGGTCTCACAGGCAATAACCGGGGAATAAAACGGGGAGCCCCCCGTTTTTAATTACGGGCTTGGGTCTAGGGTTTTTGGTCCCCAGTATCATATTTCATACGATGTATATCCCTGCTATGGAAACACTAAGCAAGGGTTTAGGGTTTAGGGTACGGCAGATGTGGGAGGCGGGCGAACGACCTGGGTCGGCTTGCGCCATCGAGGTCGAGGGGCTTAGGCGCCGGGGGGATACTGCCGGCTTCTTGGGCTCGCGTGTTGAGGGTGTATATTTTTTGAGACTGGGTTTGTGCCTACGGAGTAAACAACTACATCGAAAACAACTAGTTAGTTCTACGAGACATGACCTCGGTACACTCTATACAGGAAGCTAAGCGGGGATGGATTTCACAAGTTTGTAGGGCTTGCATAGGGTTTAGGGCGCAGGGTTTCGGGTAGCTTATGTTACTTGTTTGTTGCGTTGGCTTTGCTGTTGGGTGGTTGGGGGCTGGCCCTAGGATGCTTGCAAAACACAGTGCGTTGTGGCAACGCACAGCACACTGTTTTGCAACTATATTGCATCCTGGGGCCGCCCCCAGCCACCCAAATGCCAAAGACTGCAAGCTCGAATTTCACTCGGAATGCCCAGAAATTCCAGTCGCAAAGCCCAGACGCAACAACACACAAAATCAATCCAAGCGCAATAATTAGCTTTGCAAACTCAAGATTCTGGGATTTTGAACCTGTGGCCTGCTAGTGATCTCTGGCATATCACGCGCCTCTCACCCCGCGCGTTTCGGGGTTTAGGGTATGCCCTTCCCACTCCTTTAGGGTTTAAATGGTTTGTTTGCCAGCCGCCACTCCTTCTAGGTGTAGGATTGATTTCAAGTTTTTGGACACTCCTTTTTCAATTGATCTTTGAGGCACAGCAGAGTTGACATCACATGTTGCCTCTTGCTTTTGTTCGCTGCCCGCAGTCCCTCGTCAGGCGCTGAACTCATCTTAAACCCTCAAGCTTATCCTTGCTGGAGCAGCGGCACTTCTTCAGACCCTCTTCGCTTCATGTAGATATCTTGCGGCGAACCCCATGGTGAGTGTAATTGGTCACGGCATCAGCAACGCGGACACGACACAGGGTTTCGCTGATGTTTCCTCCTCACTGAAAGTGAAGAGATGCCCAATTCAAATCTGTCAGATAGCAGCTCGTCATAGCTCGTCATAGCCTGGTGCGTGGAGACAGCGTCGTTCCTTGCTAGGCTAAGTATCGAGCCCCACCAAGCGCGCCTCGCTTTTCAACACAGCGTGTCTTATGTACTGCTTTCTCGCGGCTAAAGCTGGCATTCCAAGGACGCAGATGCAGCCGCCGGACCTGCGAGGAACCGGAGACTCAGCATGCTGCGGCGTCCTCATGATTGACCCCCCAGTGTCCCAGAAGTGGTTCCCTGCTTCTGACACAAGAGAAAGAATGCAATAACGAACGAGAAAAGTGCATCACAGCGCCGCAGTAACTGTTCATACCCAAATGCTGCCTTCATCGGTTCTTGCGTCGAATCGAGGGGCACCTGCGTACACAGGCCAATCCCAACCTGCCGATCTGGCAAGTGGGGGTTGTTCTAAATTAAGGTCCCCCCTCGTCTTCGAGACGCCTTCCATCCTAGCCGAAGCCAGCTCTGTGCTTGTGAGATCTCCCTCTGCAATGGCAGGAGCCTGCCAGCTTCAAGCTGCAGAACTAAAAACTCAGAGGCGCGGTCCGAACACAGGGGGGATTAAGACGGCTTTCCTTGCATATCAGTAGAGGAAGAGCAATGTAGAGTATATACCACTTTTTGATGATCCATTGTTTGGTCTGCCAGCAATCCCTCTAAACCCTGCACTGAGGTCGATGCATCCGCTTCTGATTGGCACTCCAAGGGCGGATGCCTTGCCTGTTGGTACGAGTTATTTTCGGGTGCTTCGGCTCTTTCTTGCGTAAGGGGCAGATGTGGCGCAATCTGCGTGGGAAAGAGGCGCTCCAGTTCCGGCAGCTCTCAACATGGAGAAAGGGGGGCGGGGGGGGGGGGGGGGGGGGGGGGGGTGTTTGAGGATCCCTGGACCCCGTCAAGCCTCGCCTTCAGGGTTGCATCGACGATCTCTTGATCACTCTTGCCCATCCTCTCATTCTGAGCACAGGCACCACTGCCCAAACTTGCAACGCTAATCAGGGGTCCAGTTGGTTTTGGGAGCACGCTGACCAGGCTGCAGCATGCGCTGCCAGAAGTTGTTGCTCTGCAATGGCGGTCAGCTGAGCCTGATGTTGCTGCACTTCCGTGGGTGTGGAGTCCATTGATTGCCCCGCCACTGCCGTCATGGATCGAAGAACCTGCCACTGAGCGGCATTCTCCTGCGTGAGAGCATTCACTGACTGGTCTAGCTTGCGTAGTTGCTTCACTACCTCCTCGATTGACGTGGCCAGCAGGGACTCCACCTCCGCCTTGGACACATGCTCCTCGGCCTTGATTTGCTGAGCTGTCTCCCTGGCCGCTCTTGAGGCTGCATCCTTGATGGCTTCCTGAACATCCACGCTTTCGTAGATCGATTGGGTCTCTTTCCCCTTTGACTTGGCTTTGGCTTTGGCCTTGGCGGAAAGTTGTGCGACATATGACGTGCGTGCCAGACATAGTCCGCACTGCGTCCATCTTCCCCACTGGTTCCCACCCCTGCGCTGATGCGATTGTGGATGAGAGCAGGCGCGCTGCTCCGGAGTCCACTCCGTCTTGTCGATGGACTTGGAAGGATGTTTCATGGCCTTCTGTTCCAAGTACAGCTTCACCATCTGGGCGGCAGTCGTCATTGCGAACTGCAGCATCGTAATGGCCAGTCGGTGCCACCGAGACTCCACATGAGTGAACATGACAGGACGCGGACTCAGGAGGAGTGGAGGAGGAGTTCGGGAAACTAGCGCTTGCGTTGCTCTCAAGCCCTGAACTCTCACAGCAGGGATCAAGCATCACTTCAGGCTTCTCAAACCGATTGTCATGAACACCGTGCGGCAAATGCGACTCTGCTTGTAACAGACTGACCCCCTTGTATGCTTCTGCGGTCGCGCATGGAATCTGAAAGTCGCAGGCACTAGAACACATCAGGTCCACGGGAACGAGCTCTGCTGCGAACCTCTGCGTGGGCAGGACGTTCACCACCCGGTGTCCCGATCTGCTTCGGGTCACCTTGGCTTCCTGAGGGGCATTCTTGAAATGGACCGTGTTGTTCGGGAGATTGATGCATGCGCCTAGGCTGTCTAACAATCCGACGGACAAGAGGTGCGGGATCGATTCCTCTAGAACTTTGGTCTTCACGAATCCGAGGCGACCGCCAAGTTCAACTGGCAGGATTGCATAGCACTTGGCTCTCGACGATCCACCTACCCCCTTTGCTGGGGGGGAACTTTCTGGAAGAATCACCCCTTGCCAACCCAAGTTGCTCAGGGCAGTCTGATACTGCTCGAAAGCGGAGGCGCCTATAAGATCCTCACCTGCACCGATGTCCAAGATGGCTTGGCCTGGGGCCAAGGAACTCAAGGATAGAAAATTCCACGGCGACATAGTCGAGGACGAACACCCTTGGCGAATCTCACGAACAATCTCCAGGCCCGCAATCGTAACGAATGAAGACGAGGAAGGGTCAAAAGTCGAGAAGACGAACGCCGAGGAAGATGATCGTGCCTCATGCTGCTGCGAGGACCTTGGTTGCGCAAGGTTCGGACACTCCCGAGCCCAGTGGCCCTTCTGACCACACTTAGCGCATTTGGTGACAAGCTTGAGCTTGTCTATGGGAAGCCTTCGGTTATGAGCAGAGGATGTGGAAGACGTCGACGCGGCGGTCCTGTCGAAGTGCTGGCGGTCCTTTCGGATGGACCGGCGGAGATCTTTGTTTTCTTTCCACGTCCGACGGCGACCTTGCTCAAGCACTGCCCACACCTTAGAACACTCTTCCTCAGAGACATTCAGCTTGTCAAGCTCAAACAGGATCATGGCCTCATCCTCCGAGTCATGTCCGAGTCCACCTCTTCTTCGAGGTAGACGCCCGAAGTGTCGGCATGAAAGGTTTTCTTGAGAAGTTTGGACGAGGCAGCGGGAGCCTCCATCATAAGAAGAGCCCTCCGTACCACCTCGAAGGCTTGGCTTCCCCCTGTGAGAGTGCGAAGGTTCTGAACTCCTTGTTCATTGAGCCCCGCCCCTTCTTCCAACAAAGCTCCTCGGACATCTGAGGGAATAGCAACTCCCACATTTTCCGCCTGAATGAACTGTTGATGTCGTCTATGGACGTATTGAGCTACAGATTCATCACGCTGTCTTGTATGCTCGAACAACGCCTCCCTGACAAGTCTGTGCTTTTCGGTGGTTGCCATGACTCCAGCTTCAAGATCTAAGATCTCCAAAATCTTCTGCAGGTAGGCAGGCCCCTGAAGCTCTTGTTCGCTAAGATGGTCAAACCGAGACATCAGAGTCCAGTCAAAGAGCCTCAGCACCTTCTCTGCTCTTCGCCATGGCTTGACGTCTGTTACTGAATCCCATCGCACCAGAGCCTTTTTGAAAATGCGGTAATGCTGAAATCCTGGAAAAGACGGAGGATCAGAGTAATCTCCTTTCTCCGGCTGTCGGGGAAGAGAGCCTGGCCACCCTCTTGGAGGTCCGTCATAGATCTCTGGCGGGGCGCGCTGGCTGGAAGGCATGACCGAAGAAGCCCTGTTCAAGCCCCATGCTTCTTGAACTCCTTGGAGAGGTACTGGCTGTTGCTGAGGCGCCGGTGCTTCCTTCACACTATGCGCCCGTTGCAACAGCCTCAAAGGCACGGGAATGTCGCCTTCGGGAGGCTCGGGAGGCTGCGCTGACGGCTCTTCATAGGCACGGCGGAAATCTTCTCTTGGTTGAGGCAGCCTCAATCCGCCCGGCAACGATGGTACATCAGAGGCCATGGCCTAACTTAATTCTAGCACAATGCGCCCCTCACCTGCTCAGCTGCGCCTTCACCCTGGTTGTTGCCAGGGCTCCGCCACCAACTGTAGCTGATGTGCACACTTATGCATCGAAAAAGGTCGGCACTTTTCCTCTATCTACTTGCACCGCTGTCGATTGGCCTTGAGCCAAGCACGTTCACCCGTTGAATCCTGCGCATGCAATGGAACCTGTCACGTCAATAGGACTGGTGTCTAAATCTTCAAGCGACATCTGGCCCGCCCGCGCGTTTTCCACTCCACAAAACGCACCCCCCCCTCCTCCTCTTGCCAGCCCGCACGGCTTCCACTTCTCCACAAAAGACACCCCCCCCTCCCTCAGCTCCGAAGCGAGTGCGGGCGGGCTTCCAGTGCTCCACAAAACAGCTCTGAAGTTTGCCTCAGAAAAAAAGAAAATGAACCAAATCCTTTGAAACAAGCGTGGCCAGGGCTAAGCAAAAAAAGCACGGGCCCATCCAAACAGAGAGTAAGTAGCATGGCCCCTGCACATGGATGACACATCCTCACTTCTGCAAGCCAAGTCACAGTTTGTATCTCTCCTGCCAAAAACAAACAACCAGTCAGCTCGCAAACTTATGCGTGGAGCAGTGCCTTGTCCACGCCACCTGCCAAAAACAAACAAAGGGGGAGGGGTTCTGAATGGAGTTCCAAGCGACTTACTTGGCCCCTCTAGCATCCTTCTTCTTGTGCTCCTGGGCAACGTCCATGTATAAGTATGATTTCAGACCTAGGACTTGCGCATCGACCAGTTTTAGGGGCTTTTTGAGTCGTGGGAGGGCAGGAGGGTTATGGATGATTGAAGGTTTAGGCTTTCGCAAGGTTTAGGGTTTGGGGTTTGCAAGATGAAGGACTGGAGGGGTTCAGGGATTTTAAGGATTACGTGCGGGTTGCCCACCCGCACGGCTTCCACTGCTCCACAAAAAGCGCCCCCCCAAGCGCGGGTTGCCCGCCCGCACGGCAAAACGCACCCCCCCCAGCTCTGGCCCGCCCGCGCGGCTTCCACTCCACAAAACGCACCCCCCCCTCCTCCTCTTGCCAGCCCGCACGGCTTCCACTTCTCCACAAAAGACACCCCCCCCCTCCCTCAGCTCCGAAGCGAGTGCGGGCGGGCTTCCAGTGCTCCACAAAAAGCCGAACCCTTCCAGCTCTGAAGTTTGCCTCAGAAAAAAAGAAAATGAACCAAATCCTTTGAAACAAGCGTGGCCAGGGCTAAGCAAAAAAAGCACGGGCCCATCCAAACAAAGAGTAAGCAGCATGGCCCCTGGACATGGATGACACATCCTCACTTCTGCAAGCCAAGTCACAGTTTGTATCTCTCCTGGCAAAAACAAACAACCAGTCAGCTCGCAAACTTATGCGTGGAGCCGTGCCTTGTCCACGCCGCCTGCCAAAAACAAACAAAGGGGGAAGGGTTCTGAATGGAGTTCCAAGCGACTTACTTGGCCCCTCTAGCATCCTTCTTCTTGTGCTCCTGGGCAACGTCCATGTATAAGTATGATTTCAGATCTAGGACTTGCGCATCGACCAGTTTTAGGGGCTTTTTGAGTCGTGGGAGGGCAGGAGGGTTATGGAGGATTGAAGGCTTAGGCTTTCGCAAGGTTTAGGGTTTGGGGTTTGCAAGATGAAGGACTGGAGGGGTTCAGGGATTTTAAGGATTACGTGCGGGTTGCCCACCCGCACGGCTTCCACTGCTCCACAAAAAGCGCCCCCCCAAGCGCGGGTTGCCCGCCCGCACGGCAAAACGCACCCCCCCCAGCTCTGGCCCGCCCGCGCGGCTTCCACTCCACAAAATGCACCCCCCCTCCTCCTCTTGCCAGCCCGCCTCCCTCAGCTCCGCAGCGAGTGTGGGCGGGCTTCCAGTGCTCCACAAAAAGCCGAACCCTTCCAGCTCTGAAGTTTGCCTCAGAAAAAAAGAAAATGAACCAAATCCTTTGAAACAAGCGTGGCCAGGGCTAAGCAAAAAAAGCACGGGCCCATCCAAACAGAGAGTAAGTAGCATGGCCCCTGCACATGGATGACACATCCTCACTTCTGCAAGCCAAGTCACAGTTTGTATCTCTCCTGGCAAAAACAAACAACCAGTCAGCTCGCAAACTTATGCATGGAGCAGTGCCTTGTCCACGCCACCTGCCAAAAACAAACAAAGGGGGAGGGGTTCTGAATGGAGTTCCAAGCGACTTACTTGGCCCCTCTAGCATCCTTCTTCTTGTGCTCCTGGGCAACGTCCATGTATAAGTATGATTTCAGACCTACAATGTGATGCCCCTCAGTTATAACTTAGTAAGCCCAGATACAAATAAGTTGTATCTAAGTTAGGGAAGTTAGCCTCAAAAGTATACTAAAAGAAACCTGGCCTTGTTAGGGGACATAAGTACCAAAACCGCCGCATTGATGAGAGAGATATGTTTATCTATATGTTTTGGATGTTTTTTACATATATGTATAATTGACACATAGGGTTTCGTATATATATATATATTATTTATACTTATCTTCTTCGGTATGTATCTTCTTTGTGAATCGAGTAATTGGAGTTGTCGAAGCTGCTTCAGCTCCCAGCTTTTCAAAGTCGCGTCTCCGCTGTGCTGTTGTCCTAGCAATGGCGCCAAAGAAGGTTTTGCAGGATTGGTTTGCGTTTCCGCTGTACATGACTTCGGCTGTCTGGCTTGTCATGACGAATGAGCACGAGTCCCAGCTAACCAAGCTGACTACGCTGCTGCAGCATTTGACAAGTTTGGGCTTGACCCATGCCTCCGAACCAACGCAGGCTCTGATCGCAGCCTTTCTCTCTGCCTTCGACCCCAACGGCGCTTACGTGCGCGCCAATGCGAATATGGGCCTGGCGTTGCTGGGCACGGTCAAAAACAAACTAAAGACCTTTGCAGAGCGGGCTCTGCGAGCTGGACAGTTGCCGCCTCACTTACCTGTGTTGCCAGCTGACGTGAACCAGCTGCCTGCAGCCCATGCCAAGTTCTTTTCAGCAGGTTTCGTTGCTGTGCCGGAACAGGTGCCGCTGTCAGACATCGTAGCATGGGCCAGAGTGTGGCCGATGAGGAAGACGAACTCTCTGGTGCAACCAGCAAAGCAAACTGGAAGCTCGGCCCAGTCAACGGATGCATTGGCAGTTCTGCAGCAAGCAGCTCAGCTCATGTTGGTCTTGCAAGGTGGTGGAAACAATCGTAGCCAAGCTCCGCAGGAGTTGCAAGTTCAGTATTTGGATAGGGGGCATGCCTCGGGCTCAGCTCGTTCGTCTTCCCAGCTGGCTCTAGAAGACACCCAAGATCCACAGCAGCAAGGACCGCAGCAGCCGCTACCGCAGACAGTTCCGCCAGATGTGGCCTTGCCGGCTGCGCCTGCGATGGCGCTGGCCTTGCCGGCTTCATCTGCGATGCTGTGGGGCGCGGGTACGACCAGACTGAAACTGGGCCTGCTGCTGCCGTGTTGCCTGCGAGCACAAGCTATCAGCAGCACCAGCAGCAGCAGCAGCAGCAGCCGCCGAGCAACTCAGCGGTTGCTGCTGCGCCAGCCGTGACGGAGACTCCAGTCCGTAAAAGTTCCTCGCGCTTGACTGGCATGGTGGGGCGCCTGGCTGAGGCACAGTACGACAAGACCTTGAGCCCACTCAGTCCTTGGTCACACTTCCGAAAAGGCGCACGCTCTGAAGCGCGCCGCTTGCAAGAGCAGAGCGCATGCTCGCCGGCTCCGAAATTGGTGGCAGCTTCGGAGTCACGGAGCCCTGCGCTCAAGCGCCCGGCCGCAGCGGAGAAGAGCGTGGGGCAACTTTCGGAGGACTCGCCCAAGACTGCGAACAAGAAGGAGAACCAGAAGATAGCTGTCTTCGTGCGTCCGGCGGCAGCGCCGGAAGGCTCGGGGCAACTTCGGGAGGACTCGCCCAAGACTCCGAAGAAGAAGCAGACTGCTGTCTTCATGCGTCCGGCCGCAGTGTCGAGCAGCGAACCGGGAGTGCCCGACTCGCCCAAGACTCCGAAAAGGAACAAGACCGCCGTCTTCGCGCGTCCGGCCGCAGCACCGTGGAGCGGGAACCTCGGCGTGGAAGAGTCGCCGCAGACTCGCATGAGCCCGGGCCGCGTGTTGAGACGTCCGGCAGCCAAGGTGAAGTCCGAGAGCGCGCGTCCGGCTGCTGCGCCTGTGGTGAGACGCCGCCCCTCGGCCGCTGCCGCTGCCAAAGCGCCCCGCGCCCTGAAGAACACCGCGAAGTGTATTCGTTCCCGAGCTTATCACAGAGCGCACCGCGCGGCCATCAAAGCTGGCAAGAGCAAGAAGCAAGCGCGCGAGCTGGCCAGGCAGGCGCACCGCAATGCGTTGTAGACTGCTCCTGGCTTTTGCTGTCGAGAAGGCAGGGCGATGGCAGGCAGCTATAGTCTGTGCACGCAGTTCTCCGTGCTGCTGCTTCGTCTGTTTTGAGCCTCGCAGACATCCATTCATGAATGCGCTCGCTCTGAAGTGATGCGAGCGAGATATCTCTTGTATAGCTGCGTTTGCGACCGTGCAGCGGACAAGGGCGATGATGGAAAAGGTACTCTACATGGTTCAGACGTGGACTGCTGTGCTGGGGAGATGGGGGGGAAGGGAGGGAGAGGGGAGAGGGGGGGGGGGGCGGGGCGGTGAACACAATTAGGGCCGTCAAACTTATACGTTTTTGTCTGCTCGCACAAGGTTTTGTGGCTCGAGGTGTCGACACCATGCAAAGTTACTGGTGCCCTTGCATCACCCCGGGCTGTTCCAGACTTGCGCGCGGCGGGCACACTCACTGCTGTAGTTGGTGCAAGCACAGCTGCGCAAGCAGTCACAAGTGCTCCTGCACGACTCGGCAAGCTGCTGCGGCGACGGCGGACGGCGACGCCTTTGCGTCCAGTGCGCCTGGGCCGACAGGTCGCGCGACTGCAGGGAGATCTGCTTCTGACTCCCGCGCTTGGAGTGCGCCGAGGTCTTCTGGAGCTGGCGGGCAGTCTGCGGGCCAGCCGAGCTCCGTGGAGTTACTGCGCGCCTTGCTGGCTGAGAACGTGGGGCGCATGCCACCAGAGGATGTAAAATCCTGGCTGCGCTGCCTGCTGCGTGCCTTCCATGCAGACAGGCATCCGAACCTGCCTTCTTCTCATGCTTGCACGCAAGTTTTGACGGACGAGTTTCGTAGATGGAGATAGCTGGGCGCGACAAGTGCGCGGCATCTCAGCAAGCACGGCATAGGGAAAACGGACTGCGTGCAACATTGTGGCACTCGTATCCTGCATGCAGAGTCTACATGTGTGTATGGGGTCTATAGAGAGGTTTATAGGGTTTAGGGCCTATACGTTGCAAGGCTTTCGGTTTAGGGTTTATAGGGTTTGAACTGTTTAGGGTCTATAGGGCTGAGAGACCCTAAACTAGAAACCCACCCTAAACCCTAAACCTATATTATATAAACCCTATAAACCCTAACCCGATAGACCCTATATCGCCCCAAGTGACGTTCGTAGCCATTTTGCAGCGGGGGAAAGTAGCCATGCCACAGCCCAAGCGCATGGCCGCCCGCGACGGCGACGCCAGGCCCCCCCTTTTTTTTTTTTTAAGTTGCCGCAGGGTTTGCGCGAGCCTGCCTCCGCCTCTGCCGGGCCTGCCGGCGACAGTCGCAGCCCCCGCGCTCCCGGACCTGCGGCGCTTTCGAGCGGACCGTCAGGCGGGAGCGCGGCAGGCCGACTGTCGGACCGGCAGGTGGCAGAAGGCAAGAGGCACGCGTCGTGTGTAGGGGCTCTCCGCCTTTGCCGGGCCTGCAGGCGACAGTCGCAACCCCTGCGCTCCCCGACCTGCGGCGCTTTCGAGCGGACCGTCAGGCGGGAGCGTGGCGGGCCGACTGTCGGACCTGCAGGTGGCACAAGGCATGACCCTGAACCCAAAACCCTATATAACATAAACCTAATATAAGTGAGTTCCCCACTCCTTGCTCTGCGCAGGTCAGCCACCGACAGCTCCGAGGGCTCCGAGCAGCACTCAACGGCGCCGCTGCGTGCAGCTGCAGCCCCTCCGAATGCGGTGTGTCCTTTCGAGCCACGCCAGCACCAGATGCGGCCGCCGGAGCCCGCAAACCCCCCTTCTCGCCGCGCGCGGCTGCTGTCGCGCTCCGAGCACCAGCGCCAGCAGTCAGGCAGCGCCCGTGAAAGGTCCAGGCGAGAGCGGCGCTCGCGGTCCAGGGAGGGTCGCCGCGGAGAGCGCCGTGACCGTCACAGGTCCCCTGACCGCCACAGGTCCAATGACCGGCGCTTGACTCGCGGTGACGGCGGCGGGCGAGGGAGCGGACGGTTAGGGGCGAGGCGCGAGCCCCCACGCCACCCCCTACCGTTTGGCGCTGCACGGAAGAGGGCTGCAGCCGTGTCCTGCAGGATGCGTTTGGTTTGCGCCAGCACCTCCATGGCAAGCACGACTTCGGTTGGCGTGGCGCAGCGTTGCGTGTCAAGGAGAAGTACCAGGTGGACCTTGACGAGCCGACTGGCGCTGCGCTACCTTCAGCCAAGAAGCAGGAGTTGGGGGAGCCGACCGAGACTGCAGCCAAGGAAGTGGACGCAGGGGAGGAGCCGACCGAGACTGCTGCGCCGGCTATGTCTCCGTCAGCCTTGCCGGTCAAGCAGGAAGCTGGGCCGGTCAAGCAGGAACCTGGGCAGCAGGCAGCCTCTGAGCCGTTGCCAGGAGGTGAGCCTCCAGGAGGTGGGCCTCCGCCGCAGTCGGCTTCGAGCTCCTCCCAGGATCCCTCCCGCGTGCTCGTCCTGCAGCAATTGCTGAACGTGGCCGGTCAGCTTTTGCGTCCGGAGCAGCCATAGTGCTCGCACCCGCGCTTGCTTCTGCAAAAAGTTCCGCACGCTGCTCCGGGGGCACGGGTCTGCATAAGGTTTATAGAAGAGAGTTAAGGGTTTATCTCGTTTAGGGTTTGGGGTTTAGGGTTTAGGGTTAAGTTTAGGGTTTAGAGGGTTAAGGGTTATAAAGTATAAAGGGTTTAGGGTTTAGGGTTTAGGGTTTAGGCTTTAGGGTTTAGGGTTTAGGGTTGGGAGTTGCAGGCTGTGGCTAAGGGTTTAGGGTTGAGGGTTTAGGGTCTAGGGTCGATATAGGGTTTAGGGTTTAGGGTTTATGAGGTCGTGGAGTAAGCCCCACCCGAAACCCTTAATCCTTAGGCCCGTACCCTGCAGGGATCCATGGGTTTCGGACTTATACGAGGCCAGAAATCCTGACAACTTTGCTTTGGGGTCAGATATACATATAGCAAAGGTTCAGGATGTTGGTATTTGGAGCTTTCCCTGCCTCAAAAAAAATTTCGGCGTGTCTTTTCCTCGATCTTCTCTTGTTTTTTCCTTGTGGTTCCCTGGTGGTCCCCTTGTGGTCCGGGCAGGCCGTTTTTGCTTGTGGTCCCGCTCCGTTCGTGGGAGGTCTCGAGGATTTGCTTGTGGTACTCTGTGGTGCCCTTGTGGTCCCGTGTGGTCCGCGCGTGCTCCGCGCGTTGTCGCTCGACCTTCCCTAGGTTGTAGCTGGCCCAAGGTCCTTTCAAAGCTCGTAGCACCTGAGTAGCACCTCCCTTCTGCCTTCCCTTCTGCTCTGCTGCACGCCATGGCCGACGCGGAGACCCAGGTCCAGGCAGGGCCTGCTGAGGCATTGGCAGAGCAAGCGAAGGAGCCTTGCAGCTGCTGCAGGCTGCTGAAGCCGCTGACGGACCTCACCTCCAAGCCAGGCAGGTCCAAGAAAGTGTGCCGGGGCTGCTACTCTGTCTCCGCGACTCTGCAGCGGAACGGCATCAGCTTGGACGCTCAGTTGGACGAGCAAAGCATCGAGGCTTTCTACAAAAGCTGTGCCGAGGAGCGGGTTCGCAACCCCAAGGACAAGCTGACCTACCAGAAAGTGAGGGCGCAAGTGAAGCAGCAGCTTGTGCGCCGCCACACTCGAGCTTGGCAGCAGAATAGCGGCGGGCCCTTTCTGCCGCTGTCCATGTGGGAGAAGAAAGGACTGACAACGCAGCAGCTGAAAGACGTGGAGGAGAAGGGGAACAAGAAAGAGCACGCTATCCTCGGCATGACCTACCAGGTGCCGATTGACGAGGAGACCTACACGCAAACCTTTGCAGAAGCAGAGGAGCAGCTGCTCACCCTCGAGAGCAACTTCAAGAAGCGCAAGCTGCCTCAAGCAAAGGGCAAAGCGAAAGCAAAGGCCCAGGCTGTTGAAGACTTGCCGGAGGCAGTCGAAGTGTTCTCTGACCTCGAGTCAGGAGACGAGGAACCAGCAGGCTCTTCGGACAAGAAGCACGACAAGTCGGGCAAGGCCTTGGCTCGACTTGAAGCGAAGAAGGCTCAGAAGCTCTTCGCAAAGCTTACTGCCGCGCTGGGGAACGTTGCCCGTGCTCCGACAGCAGCAGGAGAAGCTCGAGAAGCTGACCGGGTCCATGAACTTGGACTCCCTCCCTGCTTGCGTTCAAGAAGACCTGGGGGACATCAGGAGCAAGCTGAGTCAAGGCATCGACCAGGGCGGCAAGGTGCTTGCGCGTGCAGCAAAGGGCGACACCGCGTGGAAGGGCGAGGAAGAGCTGGTCTTCGACGACGCCAACGAGGTGACATTGCTGAGCAAGAGCGCTGGCTCTCTGCTGCGGACGCTCGCCAGCCACAAGCGCGGGGAGGAACCCGGGGTTGAGACTGCGCCCAAGCAGAAGAAGAAGTGAGACCGCGCGTGAGTGGCTGCGGCTGTTCTCGCGCTGGCGCTGCCTGCTCGAGACATGGAGCACGGCAACCGCAGCGCGACTTGCAATGGCCAGGAGTTTTCAAGAAGGGCTCGCTGCGTCTGAGTGCTTGAGCGTGCAATTGCCCCAGGTTATCTGGGGGGGGGCGTGGGGGGGGGTGGTAATAGGAAAATATCCTAATACACCTTGCCGGTCTGGACGTGGGGGGCCCCCCCCCACGTCCCAATACGGTGATATGCGATGCTCTGCCCGTCGTTGCTCTGGGTTTCTAAGATTGTTAAACAACAACCCGAAAGACAGAAGGGTCCAGGGTCCTCCTGAAATAGGAAGAAACTGGATTGGGGTAGGTCATGGAAGTACCCACCAGCACAGCATCTCCCATGCCTCCCCCCCATCTTCCATCCTAAACCCGGTGCTGATGCGGCTGCGTGGGGGGCTGTCGCCAGTGTCCAGGCTTCCTCAGAAGGGTCCACGGTCCTCCCCCGTGACCCCCGAAATAGGAAGAAGTTGGGGGGGGTAGGTCATGGAAGTGCCCACCAGTACAGTGTTTCCAACGCCTCCCCCCCCCTTTTCCATCCTAAACCCGGTGCTAACGTGGGCTGGGCTGGCTGTCTCGGGGTCCTGTAGTGTGCAATAGTGTCCTCTACCCAGGCTTCCCCAGAAAGGTCCAAGGGTCCTTCCCCACACCCCGAAATAGGAAGAAGTTGGGGGGGTAGGTCATGGAAGTGCCCACCAGTACAGTGTTTCCAATGCCTCCCCCCCCTCTTCCATCCTAAACCCGGTGCTAACGTGGGCTGGGCTGGCTGTCTCGGGGTCCTGTAGTGTGCAAGAGTGTCCTCTACCCAGGCTTCCCCAGAAAGGTCCAAGGGTCCTTCCCCGCGCCCCGAAATAGGAAGAAGTTGGGGGGGTAGGTCATGGAAGTGCCCACCAGTACAGTGTTTCCAATGCCTCCCCCCCCCTCTTCCATCCTAAACCCGGTGCTTATGTCGGGGGACCTCGGGCGTCCTCTGGTGTCCTCTCCAGGTTCCTCCCCCGCGCACGAAGAGGCTGGGGGTCATGGGAGTGCCCGCCAGTACACGCAGAAGCTGTGAGTCATGTCATGGGCTGTAGTGCTGAAGCACGACATGACTTCAGCATACACCTGACAACAGAAACGCCAGCCCCTGGCGAAGCGAGTTGACCACTTCACTGCATGTTCTATCAGCAGCAAGATCGCTTCATATTGCTTCAAAGAGAAGGAGAAATCAAAATGTGGAGAACGAGGTAGATTATGAAACTCTAGGAACATGGGCTAGTGTTTTTTCCTATTTCTTGGCCCCCCCCCCACGTCTTCAAAACCACATACTTTTTAGGAAATCCTATTAGGGGACGCCCCCCCCCAAAAACCAAGAGATAGCGGGGGGCAATAGCGTGCAGTGGCGGGGCGGCGCACACTGTCTACTCGAGCCGGGCGCTTGCCAGCCTGGGCGCTTGCAAGCAAAAGAAATCGTGTAGGACACGGGTGCGGCACTGTATAGTATACAGTTCGCGAAATATACCCTAAACCTTTATAAACTCTATAAATGCTGAACCCTATAAACCCTAAACCCTTATAAGAACCCTAAACCCTAAACCCTTTATAAACCCTAAACCCTAAACCCTAAACCCTAAACCCATAACCCCGATATATATGTTTATATATATATATATATATATATATACATACATATATACGTATATATATATATATATGTACATTTCTGTATCTATATTTGATTATTATATTTACATGATATATATGTGTATAGATGTATGTATATAGACATATATACGTATTTACATATATACACATATATGTATATATGTTTATATTTGTACATACATACATATATAAACATATACATATATATATATATATATACTCATATGCACGTATTCATATATATATATATATATATATACATGTACATATATATATATATATATATGCATATATATATATATACATACAAGTATATATAGGTAGTTATAACACTCTAGTATAGAGCTGCACGTACGCCTGCGCGTGCGACTCAGCCTCAGTTTCTGTTAGGCACGGGGATGCTCTGAAAGCACATGCTGTGCATTTGCCATAGCGTCTGTTCTGGCTGTACAAGGCCTCAATAGGTTTGCAGCTCTGCTCCCGGTAGTCTCCGCGCCGGCCATGCCTGCAGCCAAGGGCACTCGCAAGCGAGATGCTGCGCGGCCCAAACTGGCCTCTAAAGCCGGCATGAAGAACGCTGCTCCTGCGACGGCCGACGTGGTCTCAGATGGTCTGCAAAAGGCACACAGTCAGGAGCCTGTGGAAGTCAACAGCAGCCCAGAGAAGCAACTCAAGGAGCAGGAGAAGCTGAAGCAGACGAGACGCATCGAGCAAGCACGCCGCTCAGGTCGAATGCTGGAAGTTTGCTTCGACGAAGCAAGACGTTTCTGCCTACGCTACCCTGACACGCAGGAGACGCTGGCGGAGAAGATGGCCGAGCTCACAACTCAACAGAAGCACGTGAGCCGCTACCTGAAGCGCAGCCTTTTTGCTACGCCTGACACCGACTTCCCCGCGTCACCAGTACGCAAGCTCTGCCTGGAACTCCAGCAGCTCTTACTCGAGATGCGGCGAGAGCGGAGTCGCCGCGTTTCATAAGCAGCACGCTAACCAGCTCGCTCGTGCAAAAATAAGAAGACTGCCCCCTCCATGCTAAAGGAACGTAACATTTAGGGTACAGAAACATGTTGGCGAAACCTGGCAAACAACAAGTCGCTAATGTCGGCTCAAGATGTGTGCCGACATCAGCCAAGGTTAGCCGTCCAGCCCATGAAGCGTCGCCACAGGCACGTGGACGGTGCGGCCGAGGACAGCCCAGGCCGGCGTGTGCGCGCCTGTCTCGCCGTGCAGAGCGAGACAAGCGTCTGGCGCGCGCTCGGCATGCTCCAGGGCAAACGCGGCCATGGTGCGCGGCAGCCGAGCGGCGCCTTCAAGCGGCGCCTGGCTCGCGTGCGCGCGGCCTTCGTACCCTGCTACGATGTTATGTCTGCGCCATCGTTGAGTGGGGATGGAATCCAGTTCGCCTTTGCCAACGTGCGGGAAGTCTTGCGAGTGCTCTTTCCCCGCGACCAAGCTTTGGCCAGCCTCGTGCGAGAGTCCGCTGCCAAGAATGAGGCCTTGCAAGCAATCTTGTGCCAAGACGAGACGACTGCAGGAAACGTTTTGGCGACGGAAGCACGCCAAAAGGTAAGCTTCCTGTATCTGTCCTTCCGGCAGTACGGGCCTGCTTTAGGAAGCTGCAAAGCCTGGCTTCCTTTGACCTCGGTGGCACGTTGGCAAGTGGACCAAGCCGACGGGGGAATGCCAGCTTTGACTGTCGCCTGGCTGCAAGAATGGTCGCGACAGAAGCTGGAAGAGCCCTTCGACGTGGCCGGCTGCATGACTAGAATTGCTTTGAGCACCTTCTGCTGCGACTTCGATGCCATGCGCGTGTCCTTCGACGCGAAAGGCTCTATCTAGTGGACTTCGCCCGTGCTTCCTCTGCTCGAACTGCGTCAGCAAAACAAGCGAGGCGGGCGAGCGCGACCCGACATTCCGGACCATCGCTGAAGGACGCATGAGCAAATTCGTGCCGCTGCGGCAGCCTGAAATCGAGGACTACATGGATCGGTGCCTGGCCAAGCTGCCGCGCATGACCCGCGCAAGCTTGGAACTCAGAGAAAGATGCATCGGCTTTCACATCAACCCGCGCAACCTTTGGAATAGCCCAGAGGGCAAGTCGCTACTGCAGCTCAACAGCTGCTGCAACGACTCTATGCACTGCTACTTTGCCAACGGCATAGGAAGTCAGGAGCTGCTGCTTTTCTGGAAGGCTGCACGCGACCGCATGGGCATCGACCTGGAGCAGCTGCAAGAGGCAGTGCTGGAGGCTGGCTGGAAGCGCTCCACACAACACAGGCGCGAGGGGCAAACAGCTTACTGGCTCAAGCGGCTCTTTCGGCCGAAGCTGTGGGAAGGCGTCTTGTACAAAGGTTCCGCAGGACAGACTCGGCTCCTGCTCTCTGTCCTGCGATGGTTCGCTCGGCAGCTCTGGAGCAACGAGCCAGACTTAAGACCGCAGTACAAGTCCTTCATGCTTCTTTGCCGATGCGTAGACTGCCTCGCTTCCATAGCACAGAGCCACATGTTCGCGGAGCTTGCTCGCTTGCAAGAAGCCCACCACAATCAGTTTGTGTTAACTTACGAAGACGCAGTGCGGCCGAAACATCACCACAGGCTGCACCTGCCGTGGCATTACCAGCGTCACGGGGTGGTGACATGCTGGGCAACGGAAAGCAAGCACCGTGACTGCAAGAGCTTCCTGGCAAAGTGCACCCAACAATTCTTGACCGGCCATGAAGGAGGCAGGCAACACTCCTGTCGCCTACTGCCCAGGCTCCTCTCAAAGCACGTAGCAAGCAACGAGAACGAGCCACTGCTCCTGCGCGGCGAATATTCGCTACTGAAACCTGTGAATCCGGAGAGCATTTACAAGGACCTTGGCGTTTGCTGCTGCGAGGCTGCGAAGGAATGTCGTGTGGACTTGCTTCGTTTGGTTGCTGGCGACGTGCTGCTGTGGGGTGTCGGAAGACAGCAGGCCGGCATCTGCAAATACTTCCTGAAGTTGGCAGACGGCAGCCTCTGGCTTGCTGTAGAATCGCTGCAGCTCGTACAGAGAGACGAAAGTCAGCGAGTCTTCAAGCTGGTGCCTGACGCTGTGCTGCTGCACCGTTTCGCCGACTTGCACCTGCCCGCCTCACCGCAGTTGTGGACAGTGAAGAGATCTGAGATTATCTGCATGCTCTAACATATCGAACAGCACGGATGCGACAAAAAAAGGAATCACTCGACGGTTTTCTGTGGGCACGCGTAGTCTATACTCGATATATTCAGCTCCAAACCTATTAAAAGACGCGGCATCATTTTCTTTACGTGACATGCTTCGAACAACAACATGTGAAATCCTGTAGTTTCCACGCTATTCCAGCCCTTTCTTACTAAGTATATGAAACATAGCCCTCGACCTCCATGTGACTGAAAGGTTACAAAATACAGCAGTTTTAAGTTATCCAAGTTAGCTAACTGTCGTGACTTAGTTATAACTGATAGCGTCCAGTTATCCAAGTTGCCCGATTTATAACTCTGACAACATATATTATAAATCATGTTATAAATTATGTTGGACAAGATATAACATGCCCTGTAACTAGAGGGCATCACATTGTAGGACTTGCGCATCGACCAGTTTTAGGGGCTTTTTGAGTCGTGGGAGGGCAGGAGGGTTATGGAGGATTGAAGGTTTAGGCTTTTGCAAGGTTTAGGGTTTGGGGTTTCGGGTTTGCAAGATGAAGGACTGGAGGGGATCAGGGATTTTAAGGATTATTTGGGCCTTGGGCTTGCGCGTACAGTTGCTCCCCCAGGCTCATCTAGTCTTACCTTTGGCTGCGGGTAATTAGACCCGTTTTTGGCCAGCACGAGCTGACGCTGCAAGCACAGGAAAGGAAAGGAAAGGATTACGTGGGGGTTGCCCGCCCGCACGGCTTCCACTGCTCCACAAAACGCGCCCTCCCCCCCTCTCTCAGCTCTGGAGCAAGTGCGGGTTGCCCGCCCGCAGAGCTTCCACTGCTCCGCAAAACGCGAAGCAAGTGCGGGTTGCCAGGCCGCACGGCTTCCATTTCTCCACAAAACGCACCCCCCCTCCCTCAGCTCTCAAGCAAGTGCGGGTTGCCCGCCCGGCTTACACTGCTCCACAAAACGCACCCACCCCCCCCCAGCTAAGTGCGGGTTGCCCGCCCGCACGGCGTCCACTGCTCCACAAAACGCACCCCTCCGCCCCCAGGTTTTTGCGGGTTGCCCGCCCGCACGGCTTCCACTGCTCCACAAAACGCACCTCCCCCCCCCCAGCTTTGAAGCAAGTGCGGGTGCTCGCCCGCACAGCTTCCACTGCTCCACAAAACGCGCAAGCTCTGAAGCAAGTGCGGGTTGCCCGCCCCTGCTCTGAAGCAAGTGCGGGCTGCCCGCCCGCACGGCTTCCACTGCTCCACAAAACGCACCCCCCCCCCCCCAGCTTTGAAGCAAGTGCGGGCTGCCCGCCCGCACGGCTTCCACTGCTCCACAAATGACAAAATACCCCCCCCCAGCTCTTAAGCAAGCTCTTAAGCAAGTGCAGGTTGCCAGCCCGCACGGCTTCCACTTTCCCACAAAACACCCCCGTGCTTTTAAGCAAGTGCGGGTTGCCAGCCCGCACGGCTTCCACTTCTCCACAAAACACACTCATGACTGCAGGGCGAGGTTGGCGCTTGAAGCCCTGAAACCTTTGATTCAAACTTACTGTAGCTGCTCCCTTCTATGCCCCAGGTCCTCCCGCCAAGCAACAGCCAAATAGCACAGCCAAATAGCACAGCCTCCAACTGATATACCACAATATACCAGAAATTCCTTCCAAACTAAACGCTCACAATTTGACACCCTCATTCGGTAATCGCTTAAGCCGGGCACTCCGGTCCCTGCAGTCCAGGTGGCCCCAAAGGAATTCTGCGCGGTCAGCGCCGTCACGGCTGTTGTGCCGAAGGAGCCCAGAGCAGTGCAGCTCTTCAGGTCCGCCTCGGGCGACTTCATGTCTAGGAGTCTATAGGGTTTCAGCTCAGCTCATCCTCGAACCCATGGAGCTGCAAGTTGCCTACAGGCGGTAGCCTAGTGAACTGTTTGGGCTGCGGGCCTGCAACCCCGCGCCACCTCCACTGTCAGAGCCTTGCGGTCAAGAACTCAATCTGTGGTACAGTTCGCTCATTCTCTGCTGTGCCGGGTGTCACCTAATTACTCACTTCTCCCCGTGTTGCCTGCCACGATCAGCACCCTCGGCGGTGTGATCCGCGCCACAGACATGAGAGTGCGGAGATGGGCTGTGTCCTGGCATATCGCAAACACAGAGTGCCGCGCCCCGTGGCGGTCTCTTAAAGGGCTATCAGGGGGTAGCTGCAAAGAAGTGATATCGGGATATGGGGCGTCTTTTCTCCACTCGCCACAAGTTTGCCGCTTGGAAGCTTCTCCTTTGAGCTGCCTGGGCAATATGACTAAACAATTGGCTCTCCGAGCGGTGCCAGAGGGCTACTTGTAAGCTATGCCAAAGTATGTCTGAAGCAACCTATCGCGGATGAAGGGGTCGCAGCCAAAGGCTTGTGGCATGAGAACCTGGGAAGGCACTGGAAGCCCAAGAAAAACTGTGGACCCCTGCATTTCACTCTTTTCGAACGTGCTGTCGAAAGGGAGCTAGTAATTGTCCACCCCCGGACGACTCACCAATCAAAGAACCTCCGACGCGAAACCCATCCTGCGTCGGAATGCAACACTGAAGGGCCTTGCCCGCACGTCCCACCAAAACCAAGCGCCCGAAATGCAAACGGCATCGCAAGCGACCCGTAAAGGCAACATCCAGATACTTCCAGGGGGCCAACACCAGCACGGCAGTCTGCAGTTTTGCAAGGCCGGCCAGGTCGCCCCTGCCGGTGAACCTCGTTTCAGTCAAGGCCTTGCTCTGCCTCTTCGGGTCTCCGGAACGTTTGGGCTTTGGCTTTTGGGTTCGGAGCCAGCATTCAAAACAAACGAAGTCCGAAGCAAACTGACTTGGGCCATCCCGGGCCCCAATGCAACTGCTTCAGACCCAGATCAAAACATGCAGCCGAGAGCCACAAACCTTCGAATCGAGCTAATGCGCGATGCAAGCCACAGTGTGGGGCCATGCTAGCGACAGAAACCCTGCTTACATTTGCAAATCTCCTTAGGAAGATGCAGCTTGTATAAACGGGTCGAGTTTACAGAAAACCTTGATTTCATCGGCAGGATTTGCCAGTTGTATATAAAACAACGAGCTCCCGAAGAGGATACATGTTTAGAAGGGTTCAAAGGGTTACAGATTCCGGATTCACGAGGTCTTGAAAATAGTTCGTGCTCAAACTCTGCCAAAGTGTGTAGATGAAAAATTATACAGAAACATATATAACATCTTGGTATTTAAAATGCCTGGAAGCTTGAATCGGGAGCTTTGGGTAAAGCAAGCGCAGCTCTAGCCAACTGGCCATGGCGAGGCGCTTGGCAGTGAGGCGTGAGTTTGCAGCGCAGGCTTCCTCCATCTCTGCATGCCTGAGAATAAGCTCTTTATAAGTGGGGGGGGGGGGGAACTCGTAGTCTGAGGAAAGTTTGCTTGTCAAGGTTGTGAGTTGAAGGTCAGAGACGAAGCTCAACGCAAACCATCTGCTGTCCCAAGTCCAAGCTGCCATCCCTGAATCAGGGCTTCCAGGGGGTCGGGCGGCAGCTTTGCACCAGCCCCCTCCCGCCAATACAGTGCAGCGGTCGATCCGGACGGCTGCAACCTCACAAGCCACTGCACACGCTCGCACCCTACCCCGGAAGAAAGCCCTCTGTCATAGCCGTGCGAACAAAGCACGTGAACTTCATCTTCTGCCCTGCAGCATCGGCAATTGCAACTTTCAGCTTCAGCCGGTCGCCAGCTGCCAATGGGATAGGCCCGATGGGACAAAGGGGTTGATGCCAGTGGGTCGCATAGCCGTTGCCCAGACCTAAGCTTGGCTGGTGCGCGTCGACCCAAATCACCAATACGCTTCAATTTCAGCCGCCAAAGTGCCTCGCCGAGTGGCTTTGGGGCTTGTTCGAGATAGACTCGTGCTCGTCCAGCTGAGCTTCCCACCACCACACGATGCAATTGGCAACGCCCTCACGCAACACTGTCAACTCGACCTCCCCCTCGCAAGGGTGCAGGGACTGGCCGCACAACGCCTGGCGGATGTCCACTTCCAGCAGACGAGCCTCGGGCGTCAGCAAATCCCAGAGCTGGCCCCTGCGCAAGCGGTTCAAGTTGCGCGAAGTGAAGGGCCCTTTACCGTGGAAAGAGGGCAAGGAACTGGCATCCAACGGTCCAGAAGCCCCAGTCTCCAAGAAGGCTGGCAGCGGCTGTTGCGAGAAGGACCCTCCTTTTAGCGAGCAAAAAGAAGCAGCGTCCAAAGGAGAGAAGTCGAAGCCATCGTGGCAGTTCGGCAGCGTCAGCCAGCCCAGCCCCACGGTCAATCGCAGTGAACAGGGCACGACCTGCGCTCCTGGAGCTGCAAGGCGACAGGCATGCTCCAATACGCTGAGGAGGGACTCGCCCACACCCGATGCGTCCATTAGCTCGCTCACTATCAGGTCGTGGCCCGGACGACCTTGACTACCTTGACTGCTTTCCAGAGCTTCGGGCGTCAGGCTTCTCACGTCCGCGGTGTGAAGCATTAGGGATGCATCAGAGTCATGGCTGGCATCTTTGAAAGTCTCAAGCGTCACATCGGAGATCAAGGGCGATAGCTCCACCGCCGAAACGTCACAGCCGTGACGGGCAGCCAGCAAGGACAGCAGCCCAGCCCCGCAACCGCAGTCTAGGACCTTTGGCCTTCCCGCGAGCCCGGCGGCCTGCCGGCGTGCACTTGCCCTGGCTGCTCCGCGAGCGATTGCGGCGTGGTACTTGCGATTGCGTTCGTGGTCATTGAGCATCTTGTAGTGCCAGGGCGGCAGCTTGCTTCTTCCAAGTGGCGGCAGAAGAGGCGAGGAGCCCAAACCGCCTTCCGCCCAGGTGAACCAGATCTTCCTGGCTGTGCTGGGCTACGGGGTTCTCCAAGGCTATGGGTGCGTTCCAGACCTGACTTCCCTCACAACTGGGAACTCAAGGAACACAACGGGATCACCCAAACTGCACGCTTCTTACGCATTTATCGCCCAAAAAGGCTGTCAGCAAAACCAATATGTAAGTCACGTTTTGACATGAACACAAAGTTGAAACTTAACTTAACCGCGGAGGCATAGGGCCTTACCCGACCGCATGCCAAGCCTTTTTAAGACTCCTCCCTTCTCCTCCCACGACTTTTCGGGTCGCCAAGGCACAGGTCGCAGCAGTTGGCCCAAAGGCTCAGCACTGGGCCTGTGTCGTCGGCCCGCCTCGCAGGCAGTGGCTGCCTGGAGGTAGACACTCCCCGGGAGACTTGATTAAGGGTCCGTTCGTTTGCTGTTGGTTTCATTGGTTTCATGGGTCACCCAGTATTTCAAGCGTGGCTCGCGCGCAAGCTGCGAATCGAAGGGCAGCAATGTACAGAATTTGTTGCACGTCGGAACAGCTCGTGCTGCACGCTCTGTAGTGCCCTTTGAAGCATCTTAAAGGTTGAGGTTGGAACGGCTCGATATCGACATGTCATGACGCATCGTGTTTGGAGCAGCCAGTAATATTTTGGTTTCGCCATGCTCTTAGGCCTTGGCCTTCCCCAATGTTTGTGGCACTGTTGGGCCACATGTAGCCGTTCAAGCGACAACCTGCCATTCCTGTGTGGTCGAGTGTTGAGGGCGGCTGTCAAGTGCCTTGAGGTAGGGGCGGCCAGGCCCACGTGCACGTGCTTGTCGCCTAGGCCTGAAGATGACGATGATGATAAGCAGCAGAGCATGACTCATGATGTTCTTTGTGCATTTCTTTCTGGCAGTCTTTCCGAACAAACTAGGCCACTCAGAGACACAATGCTTTGCAAGACGGGCACATAGCTCGGCACTTTAGTGAGAAGCAAGATCTCAAGAGAAAGCACCTCCACGGATTCTAGAAACAACCGGGTGATGAAACTCATGACCCGAGATGCACGCAGCGCAGCCACGTCCTCTTCGCATCCGGTGTGGAGGGCTCAGCGTCCACCAGCCCGGGAATCTCCACCTCGACAACATCATTCCGAGCGAGTTTTGTCGAGCGTTTGTTTTTTTGCTGCTGTGTTTTTGGGCGCTTGGCTTGGGCGGAAGGAAGAAAGGAAGGACCGCTTTGCTTGTCGACCCTTTTCCTAAGGCAATAGAGTTCCTAAAAGGCAAAGGGGTGACAAAGGAAAACCTCCCTGTTCGACTTGCCTTCTGGGCTCATCGCCTCCCTCAATTAGGCGCTCCAATTGAAAACCCAAAGGCCTATTTAATTTGGACCTCTACAAGCAAGCTTGGGATGGACCCCAACAGAGTTCCTCTCTGAGCATGTGCCACCCCAGCATGAAAACTGCTGAGCAACGACCGCTATCAGGGTTTCCTCTGAATGGGGGTCACTCCAACGGCTGTCAGGGAGCCCAGAAAGCCACGCCCGTCACGGGCATTCCAGGCTCCGTGCGGAGCCGCAGCAGAGTCCGTAGCACCCGTCCAGGGGCATCGCCGATATCGCGATCGAGACTGAGATCGAAGACCTGGCAAATTGCGGGCGGAAATCACCCGGAACTAGGTGTGCGCTGCAGTGACAATGTGCTGCGGGGCCACATGCAATGAAGGATTGCAGGGTTTGGGCATTGGCTGTCAGGCTTCAGACATTAGTCCGGCAAATGCCTGGAGAACATCTCCCCTGTGACCGCGGCACTTGACGGTTTAGATGATCTGCAGTAGCTGTTTAGCGACAATTGTGTTCAAGCTGGACGAGGGGCGCGCTGCACTGGCGAGCGCAAGCTTGGGCGAATGTGGCAGGCGCCTTCTGGCCATCGGTGTGAGTAGGCAAGGTCGTAGCCCCGCATACAGTCCTGACAAGACAAAAAAAACATGGGCCGGAACTTAACCTCGCCACAACCGTTGTGCCACCACTTCTATACTCCATTCAGCCCAAGAGGCAAAGCGACCGAGCCGGCAGCCCCGGACCCGCAGAAGGCTATCATCCACCAGTGCACAGTTTATGCGAAGCGACTCCGGGATCAGAAGAGGCACCCGATGTGACTTCTGAAGCTGTGCCAAGTGTAGTCTTAGGAGACGCCAGTGACCAAACTCCAGTATTCCGTCCTCATCGATGCCGTCCCAAACAACAATGTCTGAAGCGAAATCAGCTGTCTCTGCAAACTGGATGTTTTCCAAACGGTTGTGCTTGAAGAGCACCTCCAAGAATTGACGCAAGAGCCTGCGCTGTTCTACGAGGATGACCTTGCAGCCCAGCCGGGAGGCAAGAGCGGCTGTGAGGCCGCAGCCGCCAAAAATCGACACGCGAACGTCGCAAGCGCTGTTTTTTTGCAGCGACCGGATGGCTTGATCGAGCAGAGGCAGCAGAGCTGCTCCTAAGGAATACTGGCGAGAATCCCAATCCTGGCGCCCTACACGCTTTGCGAGCTCGATTGGTGCGAAAAGCTCGGAGAGGCGGCATCCGAAGCGGAGCAAAACTGCAGCATCCTCCTCCGCGCATCCAGATAGGCTTGCGAGGACCGAAGCCTGCGTGCCCGGAGCATCTGATTGCAACCTCTCCCAAACCGCATCGCACGAGATGGACGCGAAGCATGGACGAAGCAGATCGGCACGCATCGCACTGCGGTCCTTGTACTTCGCCAGCTCAAACTTCAAAATGTCAAAGGCATGTACGGTTTTTTCTTTCAGCTGTGTCTCAAGGGCTATGAGACCACTCAGCCCTCCTGTGAGCTCCTGCCATTCTCTGACTTCCGCCTCGCTGGCGACGTGAAGATACTTGAGCAGGGACTGCAGGAGCAAGAACGAAGGCATATCCTGCTGGGTTCCCTGGCTCTACATTCTTTACTCGATGCGCTTGCAACATGCTTGTGGACTGCGCGTCCCCCACCTCCCCCCGCACTCCTCGCAAGGCCTCTTCAAGACATCTTGAGTCTTCTGGAGCCAGGCAGCTGCCTGCGTCGCTGCAGAGGCCAGGTCTCGGCGCAGGTACCTTGCCGGGCCCCAGCGCTCCAAGCTGTGGAGGCCTGCCCTCCAGATTGACCAGTCCCGCCTCAGCTGGGGCGACACTCACAAGAATTTTCGGAGTATCATGCTGGAATAATGACTAAAAACAAAGTCACTCTAAAGATTTGCCCAGTGCTTTTGTGTAAGAACTTTTCTTAGGGTGTGGAAGTCCGACGCCTCGAGATTCCGCATGCCGTGCGATGGAAGGGCCCCGCACGCCCATGCTGCTCCAGCTGCGCCGCGCCAGGAACGGGCGCTGTTGCCATGCAGCTGCGCTGGGTTTGTTTTCAGGTACACCTTGAAATCACAAAGAGTGGGCCACGATGGGGGGAGTTGGTGCAAGAGTGTCAAGGATGATCAGGGATGGCTGATAAGAGGCTTCGACCTGGCACCTGCAACACGCGGTACTACCAAGGTATGATGGGAAACCCCAATAATTCTACAATGTGGACTGGCTTGGGGAGAAGACTTGAGACGTGAGACTTCTGAAGCACGTGCAGCTTGTGCTGGCTCTGAGCCGGAACTCAAGGCAAGGACAGTCTGGAGTCTGGAAATTCAGACTCCGAAGCCGACACAACTCCCGCAGCCCCCGACCCCCACCCTCCCTCCCCCTCCTCCGCGAGAAAAAACAAAAAAAAGATCAAGTCAGCAGCAAACTCCTCCAGCGACTGCGTGGTGCCCCCGCAAATCCTTTCATGGCAGCTTCACGCGTTCAACTACATGCAGGGCTGCTGGGCGTGCTATATCGCCATCTACACCACAATTGGAAAGCCTCAGACGAGATCGAAATCCTGCAATACCCGGCGACTTTGGATGTTTCTCATCGCCGCAGTGTGCAAGCTGATTGCGCAAGGTTTCGCGTGTCAAAAGCACATTCAAAAACAGATTCTCTGGGAAGCTGAAACCCATGGCGACATGGCAGACAAGAGTCTCAGTGAGAAAGTCGAACTCGTGTCCCAGTGTCTGGATGTAAGTCCGACCTTGTCGGGGCTCGGAGGTTCGCGCTGAGTATGGTTGGGTCGTGACAACACGAACCTATTGAAAAAGCTTTGACGGAGGCATTGTCCATCCCTACAGCAACATTAGGCCACCCCTCGACAGACATTGACCAACTCTCTGGCATAAACAACCAAACTTCTACTTGAGATTCTGCAAACTGCTGCAGTCGGCTCACTCCCCAGCTCAGCTTGGCGGTGCAACGCGCCTCCACATGCTTTCAGCATCTGTTAACTTTCAACTTCTTCCCGCTTCCTACCCCCACACACACAGATTGTCTCAAGTTGCATGAATAGGAAACGTCCTTGGCGAAGCTTGAAAGGATAGCATGATGTACAGCGAAAGGCGCTCACAACATCTCACAACATTCTGCAAGTACTTGGAACTTACCAGGCGACCTGGTTTCGTTGCATTGGGTAGCACAGACTGCCCATTCCCTCTGCTGTCGAAACTCTGGCATGACATCAGACTGCAGTCGAACGTCACGGTGCGAACGTGGCCACACAAACTCCACTAACGCAAATATTGACTGGACTTTTTTGCCGGCTCCGCGGTTACTCATGCTTCCACAACGGCTCATTGTCTTCAGCATGTGCGACTCTTGCCTTTCATAACGTTGTATGGAAGATCTGAATTTTTGGCACATTGGAATCCGAATAGAACCGTTGCTCTCCTTCAGAGGCTACTCTTCGCAAGAGCTTCTCCGGTTGCTGCTTTCCTTGAAAGTTTTCGGCAAAATTTGGGCCAACAAAAAGAAGAGTGCGGCATACAGCATACTTGAGAGAGAGCAGCGCTTGAACTGTTTTCTTCTTGTGTTTCGACACAGAGACACAGAGAGACACAGAGAGACACAGAGAGACACGGAGAGACGCGGAGAGACAGAGACCGAGACACAGACAGAGACACAGACACACAGACACCCAGAGACACAGACACAGACACAGAAACACACACACACACACAAACAAACAAACAAACAAACAAACAAACAAACAAACAAACAAACAAACAAACAAACAAACAAACAAACAAACAAACACACACACACACACACACACACACACAAGAACGAAAATGACGGGTCCTCGGCTTGCGGCCACGTCCAACGCTGCACCGAGGCGCGCCGCAAGATTGCGGAAGTCGTCCGTGTCGCCTTTGCATCGTCCCGCCCGGGAAGGGGGAAGTCGAAAATGCAAGATTCCTTTTTTAACTCCCGCCCAAAGTCTTAGGCCGACCCTTGGATGTGAAGGGGTGCACTCAGCGACGAAACAGCACAGAATCGCGGATTGCGTATGCTTGGCCTCAGACCCTGTGATGCTGGAGGCAGGCTGAAAACATCAGGCGGAGTTGGGAAACTTATAAAAGCTTAATATCTAAACGGCAAGTTTTGATTTCCCACGTTACGTTGGCGAGACCGGGAGGTACCTCACCTTTTCCCACCCCCAAACACCCCCAACATCCCCCAACCTCTTGCGACGTCCATCCTGCCTGAAGCCGCCCTACTCATCGTCAGAGTTCCGGACGCTGCATGGTTGTCTGATGTTGCAGCGGAAGCTGTGCGGTTCAGTGTCGGGGTACAATTTCGTGTGAGCGCGTGGGGATGTTGAGGTTGACTTCGCGCTAGTATCATCACTTAGCATAGAAACGACCCGAAAACAGCCCCATTGAGCACGTGATTGGAAGTCTACGTATTCCTTGCGCTAGCAACCAGATCCTCTTAGCCACCTTCACCAAACCACTCACTTAAAAGTACGCTTCAGCGCTGGGGGGTTCTCCCTATGAAGCCCAGAGGCAAAAACTCAACCACTTGGCGCTGGGACTGTCGCTCGTGGCCACTTCCTCACGGGGTCGCAGCAATTCTCTGCAGCATGTTCTGGTCACTGACAGCTTCGCTGTAAGCACCAAAACAGAGGCCTGTTCACAAAACTGCGTACAAAACTTCCGAATCGGAAAGGCTGTAACTCAAAAACCTGACTGGGTTGGCCAACACCACATGCTGTGCTACTCTCATCGACTTCTTTGTCACCACCACCCGTCCGGAATGGCATCCAGCAGCGCGTGGCTGATCCAATGCAGGAGCCGGAATCTCGATGAAAGAGCAGCTAAAGCACGTACGGTGCTTTCAAGAATCCTTACATCTGCCACAGGATGCTGGGAGCAGGCGCGGGGCTTTGCCATAGCATGTGTATCGTCAATCCACTCACTGCAACCATACCTCAAGTGACAGGCACATGCAACACGAGCGTCGTGTGATCTCCGCGTTGGAAGTCTGCAACGTCTTGCAAGAATTCCTTGGAAAGTTCGAGGCAGGGCTCTGAGGTTTAGGGCAAAACTGTTGAAATCTGCACAACAACCAAACTACCGTGAAGAACCAACGTACCGTGAAAGGAAACCATGGACAATGGAGGAGACATGGTTTCCTTTCACAAGCAAGCCCAGAATAATCATGCTTCATCATCTGCGCTACTGTCATCTCTTCATCTCTTCATCTCTTCACCTCTTCACCTCTTCACCTCTTCACCTTTTCACCTCTTCACCTCTTCACCCCTTCACCTCTTCGCCTCTTCCCCTCTTCACCTCTTCCCCTCTTCATCTCTTCATCTCTTCATCTCTTTACCTCTTCACCTCTCAAATCTTCACCTCTTCACATCTTCACCTCTTCACCTCTTCACCTCTTCATCTCTTCATCCCTTCATCCCTTCATCTCTTCATCTCTTCATCTCTTCCTCTCTTCCTCTCTTCATCTCTTCGTCTCTTCATCTCTTCATCCCTTCATCTCTTCCTCTCTTCCTCTCTTCATCTCTTCGTCTCTTCATCTCTTCATCCCTTCATCTCTTCATCCCTTCATCTCTTCATCTCTCTTCATACCATCATCCCTTCATCCCTTCATCTCTTCATCTCTTCATCTCTTCATCTCTTCGTCTCTTGATCTCTTCATCTCTTCATCTCTTCATCTCTTCATCTCTTCATCTCTTCATCTCTTCATCTCTTCATCTCTTCATCTCTTCATCTCTTCATCCCTGCATCCCTGCATCCCTGCACCTCTTCACCTCTTCATCCCTTCATCCCTTCATCTCTTCATCTCTTCCTCTCTTCCTCTCTTCCTCTCTTCCTCTCTTCCTCTCTTCCTCTCTTCCTCTCTTCCTCTCTTCCTCTCTTCCTCTCTTCCTCTCTTCCTCTCTTCCTCTCTTCATCTCTTCATCTCTTCATCTCTTCATCTCTTCATCTCTTCATCTCTTCATCTCTTCATCTCTTCATCTCTTCGTCTCTTCATCTCTTCATCTCTTCATCTCTTCATCTCTTCATCTCTTCATCTCTTCATCTCTTCATCTCTTCATCTCTTCATCTCTTCATCTCTTCATCCCTGCATCCCTGCATCCCTGCACCTCTTCACCTCTTCATCCCTTCATCCCTTCATCTCTTCATCTCTTCCTCTCTTCCTCTCTTCCTCTCTTCCTCTCTCCCTCTCTTCCTCTCTTCCTCTCTTCCTCTCTTCCTCTCTTCCTCTCTTCATCTCTTCATCTCTTCATCCCTTCATCTCTTCATCTCTTCATCTCTTCATCTCTTCATCTCTTCATCTCTTCATCTCTTCATCTCTTCATCCCTGCATCCCTACATCCCTGCACCTCTTCACCTCTTCACCTCTTCATCCCTTCATCCCTTCATCCCTTCATCCCTTCATCTCTTCCTCTCTTCCTCTCTTCCTCTCTTCCTCTCTTCCTCTCTTCATCTCTTCATCTCTTCATCTCTTCATCTCTTCATCCCTTCATCTCTCCATCTCTCTTCATACCATCATCCCTTCATCCCTTCATCCCTTCATCCCTTCATCTCTTGATCTCTTCATCTCTTCATCTCTTCATCTCTTCATCTCTTCATCTCTTCATCTCTTCATCTCTTCATCTCTTCATCTCTTCATCTCTTCATCTCTTCATCTCTTCCTCTCTTCATCCCTGCATCCCTGCATCTCTTCATCTCTTCATCCCTTCATCTCTTCATCTCTCTTCATACCATCATCCCTTCATCCCTTCCTCCCTTCCTCCCTTCATCCCTTCATCCCTTCATCTATTCATCTCTTCATCTCTTCAGCTCTTCACCTCTGCATCTCTTCATCTCTTCAGCTCTTCAGCTCTTCAGCTTCACCAACAACCATCGACAACGAAAGGTTCGACCCGAAAACATATCAGACGCCAGCATAAAGCCAAGTTCCTCAGTCCAGACATCATTTCAAGCTGCGGAACCTCTTGGCCAAACAACAAGACCCCATGTCAGCTGGGAGGCCATGTACGCCAAAGTGCTCGGAAGCGGATCCGGAGCCTTTGCCCAAACAAATGTGTTCCACCGTGGTCTGTGACATTTTGACGTGGCGTCATGGCAACAGCGCGAACACACACACACACACACACATTCCTTTCGCTTGGCCATCCTCGAGCTTGTGTTTGGAAGTTGGTGCGCGCATATGGCTGTAGGTTAGGGTTCCAGTTGACATAACAACGAGCATTTGAAATCATCGACCGAACTTCGCAGGAATCCCTTCCCGGACATGTCGAAATGGCGCCTCGGGAGAAAAGCCGAAACTTTCCGCAAAGGTGTTCTGGATTCCCGCTTCTTCAGTCAAATGGTCTGCGACCTAGCCAGCACGCTGTTGTCACAACCCAAAGACGTCAGGGCATACCGCACACACATGAATAAAACCACTCTTAATCTGATGTAACCATTGTAACAACTCGCGACTTGGCCCAGGCCGCCTGTGGTATGGCTTCTTCGTTCTTTTGCAGCGTGTCAGCTATAAGGCGCCATACTGGTAGGAGCAACATTTGTTGCTGCACCTTGAAAAATCTCACACGCGACACATGGCATCTGGCAAACAAAAACACGCAACAGCACCACGCATGTTGATCCAAGCTTGTCAAGGCACGAAGGTTCGAAAATGGTACATGGAGCCGGTACCATCCACCAAACGCTTGTAAAAAGGGTGCCTGGAACAGGCAGGACTCAGACGGCGCATGCCTGTCAGCAAGAGCAAGCCAAGGTGCAGCAAGCATTGGCGCAATAGCCGCCGGGACCTCGTGAATATTGCCACAATAATAATCCCAGGGCACGTCGCGAAACAAGAGCTGCAGTAGCCAAGGGGCCGAGGCAAATCCCAGAATGCATCAGACAACGTAGTCTGATTCAAAGGGGTCGGCATGTTGCACTACCCGTTCATTCCAAAGGCATGCGGTTCTGATTATGGTTCGGTCGTGCGGTTTGTGCACATAACAGTGAACTGGTAGGAACACGTCACAAGCATTTGGTCTTTGGTGGGCAAATCCTTCTTCGAGCAAGAACTCCACGGCAAGCGGAAAATCAAAACGATGTATGGTTACGTGGAATTCTCTGCACCAAGGTGCCTTTGGCTACTGTCAATATCCGCACCACAGTATATATGTGGAGTAAAAAACACGCACGTGCATCCCACCTTGGGCGGGGCAGTGAACTGCTGTTTGGCATGGCTCCTGGCAAGCACCCTGCCTTCCTTTCAAGCACATTTGCCAACACGCTCGCCATGAACTCTCTTTAGGCTCGGACAACATAACTTCTTCGGATCCTTCAAGCGGCGCAAGGCTACAGTGATCGGTCAGGCATCAACACCACATTGTGCCGGGACCGCTGGGACCCACACGCTCGCCGAATGAGATGCTCGACCTTTCAACGGCGTCGTCGGCTACCATGCTTACAATAAAATGTAAACATACCGTACTGATTTTGGTTTTAAGCACGTGGCTTCCGGAGCTCGGCCCCTAAGAATTCGAAACCTGCACAAATGCTCTTGGAAGTCATTGCTCTTTGTCAACACAACACGCATAAGTAAAACCTCCTAAACAATATTGGAGACGTGAGCCTTCCGGTTTCTTGCAGTTGAACTTCTCGTGCTGGTTCCTACAGGTCCGAATCGGCAGCTGCAGGCACTATGGGCGCGTTGCAAACACACGTGAATGCATGCTACTGGCATCCCTTCTCGCCTGGACATCTCGTCTGTTAATGCCGCCACCCAATGTTTACACGACCTGTCAAATGACCCAGCATGCTTTGTTTTGCATGCTCCAGCACACACCATGATCACATCTAAGCTGGCGCGCTTGGAGGCGCCAAACGCGAGGTCGATGTGCGACGACTTCAAATCAGCACCTGTGTTGCTGGCAAGCAATTTGCGAGGGCATTGTACCAGATGCAGGCATGTTGAAACTGAAGTGTATCAGTGCCGGACCGTTCTCAACCTCAACCGCATGCAATGATGATGCCATCAGGCCCACGATGGCACAGAGGCGTTGAGCTTCCGGCCGCAGCGCGGCGCTCATACCTTGCAAGTGGAAACAGCCACGCTGGTTGGACAGCGCAGGAGGTGTTTTTTCCTCCGCACCTTGTTGCGCCTGCATCGCCCGCGCAAACGCCCCCGAGCGTACTGCAGCGCACGGTGTCCCAGGCAGTGTGGCTGCAAGCGTGCTTCGCAAAGCCACGCTCAGAAATCCCCACCACCGGCAAGACCACCCCTGAAGTGCGAGCAAGCGTCGCCGCACAGATGGGGCGGGAACATGCGACAGAGGTGATGGGCGCGCAGTGGCATGTACGTAGCAATAGCGAACTATACACACGGTCTTCCAAAGCCAGCTTGCATGTCGACAAATAACCGAGCGATTTTTTTCGCGCAAGTTTTGGCGTACTGACTAGCTGCGCGTCGTTCGGTTTGTGCCCAATCCCCTGCTGCTATTTGTAATATTCCGCGCTCACCTACTTGGCCCTATCCTAATTCAATACCCCAGTCTAGTCATATAGAAATGGTATCTGGGGGGGTGATTTGATATTAGGGGTAAGGGGTTTAGTATCAAGGGAAGTGGATTACTGGACTCGCCTGTGTTCCCTGCGCTGCTGCTTCGGAGGCTCTGAATGCCACTTCCAAACACGACGAGCTTGCAGCGTCTGGCCCGCTGGAGCTCTAAGCGCGATGCGGGCCCGCGGGTGAGCTCGGGATACCGTGCGAGCTTGTGGCGCTGCGCCGCCGCAAGTGCGACCCCATCCCCCTCAGGCGCGCCAGCTTGGGGCTGCCATCACGTCGCACGGGCGACACTAGGGTTGCGTCACAAAGGCCTCGCCAACGCGCGGCAGCTGATTAAGTGTGGGCACGATGGTTTATGTTGCTTCGGAGTTTCTAACGCGAGTCTAGGGTGGGACAAAAAGTCCTTACACATACACGTGTTTGAACACCCTCTCGCTTTTGTAGGACGGCTCTTTGTTGCAATGTGATGAGTTTATGTGATGCAGTCACACATGAAATTTTCATGTGAAGACTTTTTCAAGCTCTCAAACGGGTGGGGTACGTCGTTAGACAGCTCATCGCCATGAGAGTTGCGGGCAGCACTAGGGCTGCCATACGGCAGGTCCTGTTAAGTCGGGACTTGTCGGACCAAACCGATGCTGCACTTGACAAAGCAGTGCGCCTGGCCAGGCAGGAGCTCGGAAGAAGGCGACCAAACAATCTCGATGAGGAATGTGCAGTTTTTCAAGTCGCGTTGATGGGCTTAGCCAGCCTCACGCAGCCCGACATGGACTGGGAAGTGGAGGATTTCAGCACGCTCATGTGGGAGTTGTGGACTGGTGCAACGCAAGGCACTCAGTCAGCCACGCGTCTTCCTTGCCTTGCCGAAGATGACTGGACGGGCCGCACACGCCTCATGCTGGTATGTGCAAGCATTTGTCTTGCCCCGCGTCAGTGAGGGGTTGCGCAGACACTGGCCTCAATCCAATGATTGGTCAGACACGCCACTCAGACGAGGAGCAGATTCAGGAGCAGATGAATGACACAGTGATTTCACCCCCAGCAGTGCCGAGCGAGAATGTTCACGTTCGCGGAGCTTCGACCGAATTGATGCAGTCACTCACTTCCTTGGCTAGTGCACCGTTGCGCGGAGCCCCGCCACCACCTGCCCCTGCGCTTCGCTGGCGCCCGGCGGTCGGGCAAGCCGTGATGGTGATGGACAAGCCTCCATACCAGGATTTCAGAAATGAATATGGTGTGGTGACAAACGCTCACGAGTCGGGCTTGGTGGACATCTCGCTGTGCAGCGGCGCCCTGCTCTTTCAGGTTAGTGGCGAGTCATTGAAGGCAGCGGAACTCACAGGTGACGAGCCTGAATGTGATCAGCTGGCCAGTATGTGTTCGAAGGCCCTTCAGCCGGATTCCGAAGTGAGAGGACCATTGCCCAGAAGTGATGCCAAGGACAACTTTTATGCTCCCTTGTCTATGGCCACGATCGAAGCCACCCAGTCACAGGCGAAGCTGGTCAAGGGTTTGCTTTTGTTTTTTTTTTGTTTGCTTGTCAAATGGGCGGCGCGTTCTGCGCTCATACCCAGCTGGTCTCGCAATTTTTGGAAAGAAGTGGGCGACATCGGGAAGCTGGAGTCTCGTGTGGAAGCACTGCTGCGGACTTTCGGCAAGCTGGCAGAATTGGAAAACAGTGCGGCGTTAGCCCATTCCACGCCTCTCTTTGACAATGGGCTTTTGGACGCGGAGAATGCTGTCGAGGATGACGACCTTGGTGCATTGAATTTGGACTTGTTCAATCAAGCATCATTGGTCGACTTTGCCGTGAGGGACGCCAAGGATTCGCAGGCTCAGGCTCTCTCCCTGATTGCGCGCAGCGACACAGCAGAGGTTGCCTTGAGGAGGCTAGCCTCTTATGTGCACGAGAAGCGAACGGGCGATCGGGATGCAGCAACGTCTATGCTGGCCATTAAGCCAACGAAATGACATTGCGCCGGCCTGGTTGGTATCGGAAGCATCGTTGTTTGCCCAAGGCGAGCACAAACGCCGTGAAAGGGCCAAGGCGTAGCGCGGAGAGTCGTCTACCTCCAAGGGGGCACCCAAAGGCGCACCCAAGGGAGCTGGACGAGGACGAGGAGCTAAGAAACAAGGAGGTGGCGGCAGACCGGCCGCAACAGCCACTCAAGGCTGACACCCTGGCGGCCCCTCATGGGCAGCTGCTGGCCCATTGGGGGCGACGCCGCCAAGTCAAACAGCAGAAGACAGAGGAGCAGCCACAGCGCGTACAGCGCATGATGAGCTTTTCCCGCTCCCAGTGCCGCCGCAGCCGTTGTTTCCAAATTCATCCTCCGCTCGTTTGAGAAACAGGTTTTCCAAGAGGTTGCGGCTTTGGAAGTACACAGTCGGTTTGATTCATTTTCTCAACTTCATGCATGTGGGCACAAACAGACACAAGCTGAAGCTCTCTGGATCAGCGGCGCGGGCTGAACCAAATCAGGCGCAAAGAGCTGTGTGGAGACACCTGTTCGAGTTGAGCAGAGCTGGTCTTCGGGTCCGCCGGGGGGTCACTCCGACAGGCGGCCAATCAGCTGTTGCGGCGCTCGTCAAGTCCGCCAAGGTGGACGTGATAGGTTATGCATCAGTTTCCAAGACGCATGCCCAAGTGCCCATGGAAGCAGCACGTATCGTGGAGCCTTCGGATGAACACGTGGTCGACATGTTACTGGCCACAGATGCCATGGGGCAAAACGAACTTGACCATGGTGGTTATGGCATTTGCCTGACTAAGGTCAGTGAAGCTGAGCTGGAAGCACTGAGAGCAAATTCAGAGCAGCTGGGTTTGGCGCTAAGCTTGCATGACGATGTTGTTGACGGCATGCCTTTTCCAGAGAGAGCTTTGACACCAGCTTGTTTGGCAATTGGGCTTGTGGTCCAGTGCTTGACGGGGCTTCGTCCCAGTGAGCTGCTCGGACTGCGCGAGCAGGATGTTCTCAGGCCCGCAGATGCCATGGGGCAAAACGAACTTGACCATGGTGGTTATGGCATTTGCCTGACTAAGGTCAGTGAAGCTGAGCTGGAAGCACTGAGAGCAAATTCAGAGCAGCTGGGTTTGGCGCTAAACTTGCATGACGATGTTGTTGACGGCATGCCTTTTTCCAGAGAGAGCTTTGACACCAGCTTGTTTGGCAATTGGGCTTGTGGTCCAGTGCTTGACGGGGCTTCGTCCCAGTGAGCTGCTCGGACTGCGCGAGCAGGATGTTCTCAGGCCAACCGCTGCTTGTCCAAAGTTTGTATTGCGTTTGGGAGTGGCTGCGGTACAAAAGTCCGACGTGAGCAAGTTGCATCTCTTCATTGGGGCCGTGATCCAGTGGTGGCTCGTGTGCTTCAGCAACTGTTGTACGAAGCGGAGCCTGAAAGCTATTTGTTCAATGTTTCGCACGCTCGATATCGTGGACTTTTGGCCCGAGCGGAGGCGACTGGACGAAGGGCAAGACTTGCGGCGCTACCTCTTTGAGCTTGCCAATGATGGCTGCGCGGCTGACGCTGTCATAAGCGCCGAAGGTCCAGGCACGCTCGGCGTCGAGGCAGCAGGGGTTGGAGAACGCGTCGATGCAGGCCAACGAAGTGGCACAGCCGGAGTTAGGACACAGAACTGGAGCAGATGGAGGAAGCGGATTCGCAGCTGGAACCACGAGGCGAGTCAGGTGGTGGTCCTTGCGGAGAAGGATGCGTAGGGGGGGTGGGCGGCGGCTGCGGAGGCGGCTCCGGTTGGGCCGTGTGCAAGCACGAGCTGAGTCAGTCAAGGCCTCGTGTACTGTGACACATGGGCATGGTGAGAACACCTAGCTCCCAAAACATAAAAATTGCACACGCTGTCGCCACATTCGGTGGAGACAATTTACTCGCGCGGGGTTTGCGCTCTTCCTTCTTCTGCTTCTACTACGACACGAGGAGCAGTGGGTCTACGGCGGCGGCGGTCCATGCCCCAGCCTGCTGGGCTGAGGCAGGGGGCACCCGCAAGGAACTCGCTTAGAGCGAGCTCCTGCCCGTCGAGCAAGTCAACCGGTTCACCCACTGGAAGTTCTAGCAGCGTGCACACGTGGACGCGGGGCGCCGCGAGCGCTGCCAGGGTGGTCCATGCACCATCGCTCGGCGGGCCGCTGCCGCGCACCATGGCGCGCGCAGGCGCGCGCGAGCAAGCGAGACACCTGAGACCCGAAGCTGCTCGAGTGCACACTGCCTGGTTGGCCTGCCTGCTGCATGTGTCTGGCGGACCATGGCGGACCAAACCCTGCGACAGAGACCGGTTCTGATATAGATAAAGTGCATTCGACCAGCTAGCGTGGAAACGTCCTGCCAACTGCGTGGTGGCCGCTTGGATCACTGCCCGGTTTTGTTCCAGAATGCAAACCCCAATGTGGAGCCGAAAACCGGACAGCTAGTATCAGTGCCGGGTCCCGTGCGGAATTGCAAGACCCCAGTATGGACGCCGATCGATATGTATTTACGCCGAGCGATGCCAGTTAAAACCCCCCAAAAGTACTAGCCAAGCGCGTAAAGCCCCGGCGCGAGGGGGTCGCCCTGCTCGACGCCCTCAGCCTGCGCGATCTCGTGCACTCGTCCTGCGTCCTCCCACCACAAGCAAATGGAGGTATGACAACCGTGGCCCGTGGGTCCAATTCAACAGCTGCAAGCAGCAGCATCGCCAAATTGGCAGCGCGGCGACATTGACAGCGAAAGTGCAAGACTCCCGCGCCGGCGCATCGTAGCAGCTTGTACAGCTCGACGGTTGCGCCGGACAACCCTGCGGCCGAGTCGCGCTTGGAAGTGCGCAACGCTTCCGCAACTGGTGTGCGTCGACTGGAGGACCTCCGTGAGCGTGAGCTCTGGGCTGGCAGGCGGCACGGTGAGAAGCGTGCTGGGAAGGGCCCGCACTTACACTCGAGGGCCCGGCTCGTCGTCCGCTCGGACGGCGCGGCTTCGAAGCCCACATCGCATGCCACGCAGGCGGGTCGAAGCCGCAAGCCTGCAGGATTGAAGAGGCATGGCGGGCAGATGACGGGTTTCTTCCGCGATGCCAGGCCAAGCACGATACCGCGTGCCCGCTCTGTCGTGAGCAACAGCGAGCAATCGCGCAGGGCGGACAGCGTCCAGGCTGAGGCGGACGTGCTCAGCGAGGAGCTTTTCCATGCGGTGGACTGCACTCGGTGCTGGCAGCGCAGTGCTTCCCGTGTCCTTGACACTTCATGCGCGGGTTCCCTGGCACAGAGGATGGACGTCCCTTCGCAAGCGCTGCTTGAATCCCAGTCCGGTCCCTTCGCGGCCAAAATTCTCACGGCCTTGCCTACTTGCACCAAGGTGCAGCTGCCCCTGCTCCCTGCCCTGTGCCCGGCGCCGAACCATCGTCCAAGCGGCGCATAAAGGTCATCGCCAACGGCCTTCCCTTCTGTAGAGGCGCCAGTTGGCCATCGACACCACGCTTGTCTCTGCCTTGGACTAGGTTCGCTGTCACCAACGCCTCACAGCCCGCGCTGCCCTGCGTGTGGCTCGCAAAGCCAAACAGCGGACATACCCCGAAACCCTCCGGTTCGCAAGGTGCCGGCTCGCTGTGGTCGGGATTGAGCTCGGTGGACGGTGGAGCGAGGAGGCAGCCCAGTTCATCAGACTCTTCGCTCGTAGCCGCTCCCGCACAGCCCCTCACCTGCTGCGACATCGCTCGCTAGTAAGCGCGGCCAACGTTGATGATGGGGAGCCCTTGGAGTTGAGCGACCTCCTTGGCGCTGCCTCCTCCGAAGCAGCCCGTCCCGCGTCCCCAAGCCGCTTGCCTTTCCACACTTGAAGGGCTTTGGACCTCCGTCCTCCCCACCCCTCCCGATGCACAGGGACCGGGGACCGTCATGCAGCAGGCAAAAAGGAGCGAGAAAAAAAATGAGCGAGTTCGACTCCTTTGCTTTTTGTAGCATCTCCGGATCGGGAGCGCCCAGGTATTTCTGCGTCTTGCCATCGAGCAACACAGTTTTTGAACCGTCATCGACTTCAACGTGCGTTGTGAATATCTAAACAAAATTTCGTGGATTTAAATCAAATCAAATTTTGCCGGCTCTTGCTTCCCGTCCCGGGCGAGAGCCGCCCTTGACGCGACCGGTGTGGCATCGCCCCCAATCCAAGCGTTGCTTGCGTGTGGCTTGCGTCCTCGGCGATTACGTGGCACGGTCACCCATATAGCTCAAGGGCCGCACGAACCGCTCGATGATCAGATCCCAAATCTAGCAAATCAGTTGGTCCACCATGCGTACGTAACGTCAAAGCCACAGTACTACAAAGCCCAACATCCAAGCGACGCCGTACCCCCATGCAAAACGTCCAACTGTCATGCTCTTTCTCTGCATGTGCGACGACCGTGTTGAACATATGAGCTTTCTGCATGAGCAAATCCCCGCGCTGACCGACGTGTAGCTGAGTGTTGAAATCGCCTCCGCACGCAGTGTAGTGAATCATGTCTTTGCATCAAGTCTTGCAATGCACAAAGGTGCCGTACGGGTGTCGCTGGACGGCCGCAGCGTGCACGACAGCACAGTTGGCGCCGGAACTGTGCCCGTTCGTACGCTTGTTTTACGGGCGTGGTTCCAGTTACTGTTGGTGGGACTCCGCAGGATTCTGCAGGTCGCTGCAGGGACGTTCCCCAAGGCGAAGGGTGTGAGTCAGGCGAACCACGATTGTTATTGTTCAACGCCTCTCTTGCTCCTGCACGGCGAGGGTTCCTGCTGCGCGCTTTACGCGTCAAGGCAGCTTCCTACACCTCTACGGTACCCTTTATAAAGGGCTGCAGCATGCTGCAGCAGCGCCAAGCGGACCCGAGGGCAGTGCTCGTGACGGCCTGTACCGACACGCGACACGGCTATCATGGCCCACCAACGTCTGGCCCGCTTCTGCTTCCCCGCCTTCACGCGTTGGAACCCTAAACTTCCTCAACCTTTGCAGAGCGGCTGCTGCAGGCCCTGCAAGGCCGCGTGCCCGCCACGAGCCGGGGAAACGAACGTGGCATCGACCGCGAGCTGGAATCCAAGGCTTTGTAACGGCTTTCGGTACGGAGGTAAGTCATATAGTGTTTCCTGTTGCATCTGGGTTGTTCGCTGCATGGGCCGCTCTAGAAAATCCTGGTTCGGGAGCCGTGGCTCCATCCACCCCGCGGCCATGACGAACAGATGAGAGAGTCGACAAGTTGTAGCTGAGCCATGCTAGAGAGTTCATTCGGCTCATTTCGCCCGCGAGCTAACAGAGTCCAAAGCCCCGTATAGTTCCTCGCAGCAAGGTAACATGCTCGGCCAAAGGCATGAATGCGAACAACCCACACCTAACGTGTTATTGCAACCGGTGCACCATTGTAGACTAGAGCGCATTTGCGGTGATCTCTGCAATCGGACATGCAACGCGACCACAGCGGCAAAACCAGCAGTGGAATGACTCTCAAGGAAAAAGTTCAAGGGCACGCGAAGTGAGGTTTTTGACAATCGCGACAGCGATCGTCGCCGTCTTCCTCCCCCTCACCTCATCCGCCTTGTTTCTTGCCTTATCCTCCCTGCTGCGACAGCCACGCCAGCGACACTTGCATCTCGCACAGACGCATGTGTGAGGCCGTGAAATCAAGAAAGCCATCGCCCACCGGCATATGCAACATGGTCGTAGCAGATGTCACAAATCAAAGGAACCAAAAGTGCTGGCAAGTGGCGATGGATGTTTGATGTATGCCTGCTTGGTCTGAGACTGCCCCGGGGCAGTGGCCATGTAACTCAACTGCCAATGCCTGAGCTGACAAGACCCTTGACGCCTACTTCTCAAACCACTGGTGGAAATAAGTTTTCTACTGATTAAAGGAAGTGGAAGGAATATGAATTTGCTCTTACATGAATGTGTTCATGCTTGTTACTTTGGATTGCTTTGGCCTGTGAGCTCAGTTGGTGGCATGTCAGCATGTCAACAGAATCAGCGCCCGGCACTCCGCGAAGATCCGCCTTCGCATCTACCTGTGTATGCAGGCATTGCCATGACACTTGGACTGTAAGGGTGACTCAATCCAACCTCGTGTTTTTGTTCCGGTCTCGGCCTTGGACAGGCACTGCTCACGAGATTTCACAGGGCCGTAGATGTCACATCACATTCAGGTCCTGGCCAATCGATCTTAGGTCGGGATGCCACCATGGAGCCACTTCGTTGCAACACTTTTTGCATGGTGGGCGGCGGCAGCTACAGGCTGCAGGCAGGAATGCAATACTTTCGAGCCAAACCGAGTCATGCACACCATGCATTTCCAAACTGAGTCAGTCTGGGGCATGTGATAAATAAAGCAAGAACACGATAACAGCGCCCAACAAACGCACTGGTAGAAAACTGCCATACGGGAGTCTGCACCTTGAAGACAAGGTCCCCAGTGGGGCAAAACGGTAATGCCCTTGCGCGATTGCACACCCCTGCTTTGGGAGTCCAAGACAAGTCGCTCCACAGCATGGCAAGCAAGCACGCATGCACCAGATCCTGAGCACTGCTAAACCTCAATGTCTGATGCGGCATGATGGGACCGGTTCCCGCACAAGGTCCAACGATGCACCCGATTCTTTTTCACCCCGAGCAGGGCCTAGTCTGTTGTCGACTGCGCCAGCTGTCCTCGCGACTGTTGCACCCCTTTGCGGCAAGTGTGACCTACACGGCTTGCTCACAGTAACTCCAGAAACATCAAAGAAGCCTACGCACCCGTGGTAGCGCAACGCAAGCCTGACCTGCCGCCTAGAAAATGTAGAGCTCTCGTCGTGGCATCCCTCCCAGAAACCTCAAACCGCATCCACACTAAGGGCCCCCGTTCTGCCGCCCAATGGCTAACTCGGCAACTGCCTGTAAGGGATACACCGTGGCTGGCAACGGTGAAACATTCCCAACTTTTCTCAAGTCAGGTTTGCCTACCTCAACGGCAGGACCAAGACGACCCGGTCATATCATCGAACCATGATGTTTGGGGAGTTTGCTTTTCATGCGTCAATGAAGAAAAGCATCTTTTCCTTGAATGTGCGAAGCCGAGCATCCCCAGCCCCCCCACCCCCCCCCCCTCCCCCAGAAGCCGCAAAGCCGAACGCTTGAAGCCCCCCCACCCCTCGCAAAATAACAAATAAATAAGAAGAAGAGGAAGAAGAATGAAGAAACAAATCGAATATGCCCAGACAAAACGTGCCACTTTAGAGTATATTTGAGGGTGCCGAAGTGGGTCGTCTTGGACTTCCATGAGCCTACACATGCTTACAAGTACAAGTACGATCTGAGATGAATCCTATGAACAGGGACACCCTAAGGCTTTGAAGAAGCCGTAGCGGCTACAGTCTTGATACCGAGACACACGGCAACATGTTACTGCTGAGCCAACTCAGAGACCCTTCCATGCCCCCAGGGCCGGAAGTGAAGGGGCTCGTCACCGAGGCTCAGCAACACGTGCCTCTGGGAATTTCTCGGGGCGCACTGTGCAGGGCTGCGCTGCTCCGTTGTGCAATGTAAGATCACAGAACGGAAACGCCCAGAAATGCCCAGGTCCGGAGACCAAACCTTGAATCAGAGACTGAGACACTGAGACACCCCTTAGCCTTTTCGCCATTCCCAGCAATTCCACGCCTTCAAGGCCCCATATAGGGCCCAGCCCCGCCCAGGAGAGTCCCAGGCGAGGCGCGCTTAAGATCAGCAGCCTGCAACTCACATGCGACTGCTTTGAGCAGGCAAGGACTTCCTTGGGGATGTTTAGAACGCTTGCTTCCAGGGGTTGGGACCTTCCAACGCTTGAAGAGCTTTGAGGGCCCAAGGAAGAAACCGAAGCTCCACTTTGGAGACTGGCCATGCCCACGACTCCACTCGCAAGCCAACCCCCAACTCCCTTCCCCGCCTCCCTTGGTCGGAAGGGCTGAGTTTTCTGTCTTCTCTTCAGTCATGGTTGTGTACGACCTGGGCCACTCTGCAGATGTCACACAAGGCCTGGCCTCCGGGCATGGCCCCTCTATTGCACAAAAAAAGTGCCTTTCACACACTCCTTCTAAGGCACCGACTCGGCGTAGGTCGGATGGATTCCGACCTAGCAAAACAAAAAACTCTGTACTTTCGGAAATGGCAAAAGTGCCCTGCGAAGGCATAGACAGAAAGGCTCGGCCACAGATGCGAGGCTTCTTGTGCAGGCGTGGCGCGCAATCATCGAAGTGCTCCTTGAGACAACTTCTCCACGGCGAAAGCAGGAAGCAAATGGTCTAGCATGATGACAATGCAGCGAACCGATTCCGATTGCAGTACGTCACTGGAACTGAAATCTTCGAAATATCCACAGATGAATCGGGCTATGTTCGCGTTTCTGGCTAATCTGATATTCGCTTCCCGAAGTCGGAGTTCTGTCCACTCCCCGAGCTCTCCTTCGTGACACCGCATCGAATGGCCACGCTTAGGCCTGGTCAGGCATGAGCACTTGCTACTTCCAAGCTTTGGGACCTACGGATTGGGCTTGATTTCCATGCCTTGTATGATCTCCCCAGCGTTGGGACCGAGAATGTGCACGCCGACCACCTTCATGAAGCTTCTAGAATTGAATTCGAAGGACCAGCTTGTGGATCAGAAGCTGCAAGACCATGACTACTGCGGCTGAGTGCATTACCTTACAAGTCGAACATCACACAGTTGAATACGGGGAGGCGATCTAGCTTCAGTTACGTGAAAGCAGTTGTGATGGTGGAACGCCGCAGTCCCTGCAGCCTTCTCCTTCTCATCCTTGTCCACAATCAGCTTCATGTAACCCATGTCATCCTGCAGCCGAGATGATGAGCAATAGATACCGGCTTCTAAAGATGCCTTGCAAGCTGCGACTGTCACGGTGGGAATGGTGCATCTTGTCAAGCTGGGTGTTCTTCCATTGCTCCCTACTGCATGACGCCGGCCTCCTCGGTTCCCACCCCCCGCTTCCAACTTAAGAATTCCTCCTTGGTCCGTCAACTTGCCGAACCCTCAGCACTCCTCGACACTCCTCAACAGTCCCCAACACTCCCCAAGAATCCCCGATTGTTGGCCGTATTCTCGTGCGCTTCACGGAGTCGCGCCTTACGCTCGGAGTTCAGGTTCCACTCCAGGGGCTGAGCCGTGCAGTGGTAAACCTCACAGGATCCGGCCTGCTTCCCTGCTTCCCTGCTCCCCAGCTTCCCAGTGAAGCCTTCAGAACTTCGTTAAAAATCACGTTGAGCCCAGCTTGGAGATGCGAATCCAAGCAACATGCGCAGAAGCCGCGACTAGTCGAAGCCAACGCCACATTCCGAATCAAAAGAGAGAAGCAGACAGGGACGGGGTGGAGATGCACAGACCGCACAGCTCGAAGAAACAAGCAGACCGATGCAGCATGGGACAAACAACAGAGGACATGACTCCATGAACAGCCGGCCTTGACCCCCCCTGCATGTTACCGGTGGTTGAATCACGTCATGCCAAGCCACATCCCGCACAGATGCTCTCGAACGACACAACTGAAGTCAATCCCTGAGCATGTCTCTGGATTCTGCTTCAAAAATCTGAGTGGCGACCAGTACCCACAAATTGATTGCTCCGCTTACACGAGCTTAACACGCTTTCGCGCCTTCGAGCTTTGGTTTGTGTGCCAACTTGCCGTTGCTTGTGCGGGCGCGGCTTCTGCTGCGTTTTGCCCAGTCCAAACTCCACCATCCCCAGCACCAGCATCCAAACAACAGCAGGATGGAAGAAGGCCCCAGAAGCAGAACGCAGAAGTTCAGCTCTAGGGTTTTGGGGGTTTAAGTTGTAGGGGTGGGTTTCAGGTTTCAACAAAGACCTATCCTAGTGGTGGTCGCGGCCGTTGCTAAGCAACCCTACTGAAACGAGGGCTGAAAGCCCCTCGCGATTCAGAGGAGTCAACACGTGCTCACACGGGCTTACACCAACACCTCGGAGCGTGCTCACGCGCTTCCTCGTTGCTCATGCCACAAGTCATTGGAAGCCCCTTGACTGTTTGCTCTTGATGGGCTTTGATCTCGGCTCATCTGGTGCCTTAATTCGGCTCTTGCCGATCTTCTCCTTCGCCTCGTCCTCCGAGTACCCCACCTCAGACGGGACTCTCGAGGGCCACGAGCGATTTACATGAAATGCGCACGGCGGCTCAACTCGCTGAGCAGGTGGCGCAGCCATACTCAATGGGCGTGAACACGGTGGTGGCGATGTCTGTGTAGTCCATCTTCCTTGGGACATGCTTGGACCCTGAACACGAACCCCGCAATCAGCCACGACGCTTCCACGCTCCGAACCTCCCACCACTGGGCCACCCTGGCTTGGTGGACTCCGCGAAGAGGCGCCGCGTCAGCATGCGGCCGGCCTTGATGCTTGGGGCACAAGGGTCGGGAGCTAGCTTTTTGTGATTTCTTGGCTCTGTCGACCTGGCTGTTCAGCTCTGCTTTTCACGGCTTCGCCTGCGGAGGAAATGAGGTCCAAGCCTGGATGGCCACGGGGGTCAGCTCGGGCTTGCCCTCGCACACCTCCGGTGTTCTGATTGTTCTGGGCTTGAAGGCGGACGTTTGTGGCACTCCTCGGATCTTTCGGGGTTCAGTGCTTTCGGCGCAGGGTCTGGCTCCAGACCGAAACATATGAAACGCGCCAGTCCTGCCCAAGCCAGTCCACCTTGCTTACTAAGTCACACCCAAGGCACATCCCCGATAGCGAAAATGTTCGGAACGCTGGTCTGGTCATTGTCGTTAACATCCTGAGCAGAATTTCTTGGGAATGCTGAGATTTTAGTGGTCTTGGAGAGATCCAAGCCTCAGCATGTCTCAGACACTCGCTGGCGGGGAAAAACAGAGGCAGCTGGTGCATGCAGAGACAGATACCCCAGAATATCGAGTCTCTCGCAAGTTTGCCCGTCTTGGGGTTGTAGGACAGGCCAGCTGCCTGCCAATGAGCACACAACAGAAACAGCTCGAGCACTAGCACAACAAGTCGCACTGGCAAAAGGAATACACAAAGCAATACTAGCACGCTGTCATGAGCATGATCCCAGATATCGTCACTACACTACACAACGACATGGATTTACACCCATGGGCTGCACTCTTGAAACTGGCTTAGCTTGGCTTGGGTATGGATTCGAGGCACCAGCCACCCACCATGCGCACTCTGCCATCAAGAGACGGGCAAGAGAAAAAGTATGCACGAGCCCCGAGATCCAAATGCTCCGAGAATAGTCACCTTCCAAGTGCTGCGAGGCCGAAGCATGCGTCCTTGCCGTGCTATCGCGACGCCCAGCCATAACTCATGTCGGCCCACAACCCGTGGCCAAAGCGAAATTTCATGTTTCGTATTGGACGACGCAAGACCCAGGATTTTGGCGATGAGAACGACGGGTAGTCCAACATTCACACGTGCAACCGGGAGCCGGGCAAGAGTGCAACCCTCGCGACGAGGCAAGAGTTTTGGAATTTTTTGCGGGCACCCAGCGCGTCAGCTCATAGTGTGTGCAACATTGTCTGGGAAAGGGCTGCTCGGTTTGATTGCCTTGCTCGTAGTGTGCAACACTGTCTGGGAGAAAGCTGCTCGGTAATGGACTGCCTTGAGCAATGAGCGCAAACACATGAAGACGAAGAGCATTCATTCCGGGAAGGAAGAATGAAACCATTGTTTTTTTACTTGTTTCTGCAAGTAAGAGTAGCTCTTTACGGTTTTTCTTCTGTGATCATGCATTTCTGCGTGTGCTCACTTCCTTATGCGCATTGATTGTTAGCTTTCGAGTAGAATTTTTCGACATGAAGTGTATCGCTGTCATTGCAGCATCCACCGCTCGACCCCTCACCGCCCTCACTGCTCCCCCACACCCTCCTCCACAAACCCCCCCCCCCCCCCCCCCCCCCCCCCCCCCAAACACCGCCCCCAGTGCCTCGTGAACTACCCCACCAGGTAATTCCCGCTGCTTATAGATTTAGCTGTCCCTGGGCTTGGGCCAAACACTGCGGGAGCGCTTGCATTGTTTGCGGCAATTCTACGCTGCGGGTTTGAACTTTGCGCTGCTCGCACTTGAGGGCTCGGCGGCATTGGCGGTAGCCATTGTTAGACTTTTCACGATCGCAGGCATAATACCAAACAACAACTTTCTGATTGGGACACGTTTTGATGGATAGGATAAAGCCCATGGTGAATGTCATCCTGGGATCCAAGCCCGGAGCCTCGACATTCAGCTGTCCAGCGCAGCCGGTTCGGCCGATGGCGACCAAGACCGTGTCGAAGACCTCTTGCTGTTGTTGGATGACAAGTCGGGATTCAACTCATGAGCGCTCCGGCAACATCATGGACGCTCTAATCTGAACTACATGGAGCCGTTCAGAAGATGGCAAAGCAAGTGCGCGAGTATGAACCGCAGGACTGCTGGCCAAACTGTGGCACAAGCCTTTGCCGACAAAAGTCTGTGCCGAAGTTTTTGGCGAGCCGGAGAGATTGCTGCTGCTCATCCACTGGGGCCGGGCGAGGCCGGGGCTTGGCCGGACAAGGTTCAGTTGTCTCTTGTTCACTGCAGGGGTCACCTCCGCCCCCTAACATGACCGACCTAGTCACTAGTCTTCAGCACCTGCAGTGCATGGGTGCAAAAGCCGCTTTCTCAACTAGTGGCCCAATTCACTGTGTCTTTTTCGATGCGTTGTGACCAGCACGTGACGTGAGAAAAGACACGCGACACGAACGTTTCTACTTTTGTGCCAATTGTCAAGCCTGCGCGAGCTGTTGCCGCATGTGCAATGTGGCTTGCGGCACTGCTACATGGTCGCTCTCCCGGCGCATGGATGCTTTGGGTTGTTGTGGGGCTCTCGGCTTCGACGCTCCCCAGAAAGCCGACCGACTGCGAAAATACCAAGGTGCCCCCAGGCATTCAAGCAGCTTCGGAAGATTCCAGAAGGCAAACGCGCATGAGGATTCGAAAAACTGGCACAGTACCTTGCCGTGTCTCCTAATGAGTGCGTATCAACGCAGAGAGCCACACGACCGCCAGCTTGTGCCGAGGTTGTGAGCTTTGAGCGTTTAGTGTTGGATGGTGCTGGGGTTTGGCTCGCAAAGTTGCCGATGCTGAAATTTGGCACCAGCGAAGAAAACAACAAGCACGCTTGCTGTCGGCTACTGACACGTGATGCGTCAGAGCTACCAAGAACTCTACGGGTTCACTACAAGGCTGCTCAAAGCCTTGCAGCAGCGGAATGTTTCAAAGGGATATGGTTAGCGAGGTCCATCAAGAGATGATGAACACACTGAAATGCCTTTCCGTTCTCTGACGCCTTGCACTGGCATGGACCCTGTTTGAGCAAATTCCGGCTACAGCGGCAAGTTCGTTGGTGGTTATCTGGAGACAAGAACCCATTCCCCTCCCCACACGCGGCCTTAGCCAGTAAAAGCCTTTGTGGCTGCAAACGTTGAAGTTACCAAGCCCCCAGGGCTAGATTTCGTGACATCGGCATCTGGGGCCCCCCCGTGCCCGGCATGACCCGAGCTCCTTCCCTGGCCCTGCTTTGTTCCGCTGGGGGAGTACAGCTTCCTGATGCAGCACGCTACACGCGATGCCCGTGGGCATCTCATGCCTGTCGTGCAGCCCCCATTCGAAGCGCAATTTTGTGCAATGCATGAGCTTTAAAAAAAAAACGTGATCTCTGAGACTGTGGCCCCGTACTCCTTGTCCTTCACGAAGACCTTGACCTCCAGTCCACCCGCAGGAAAACACTCCCGAATCGCCAAAGTACCAAGACAACCAGGGTCGACTGGTACACATATCATACGAGATACTGGGAACAAGTACGGCCGACGATCCCAAAAACTAACGCTGTACCGGGTCTGCTTCCTGCTGCAGTCCCCAAAGCACCTTGCCATCGGCCGTCTTCTCGTACTTGGAAGGGACCATCTCCTTTCGGGTGAAAGTCGGACAGCGGTTTTAGATTTCTGGTTGGGACACACTTTGGGCTTCAGAACTTCTGGCCTCTGGGCATCCAACTCCAGACAGATCCAATTCTGCGGCCCACTTTCAACAAAGCAAGCGCTAGGGCAAGCTTTTTGGCATGGGTTTTCACAGCTGGCCAAAGTGGATTATTTCACAGCTGGCCAAAGTGGATTAAATCCTCAAGCGCTGCTTCGCACAACGGGTTATACAGCGCTCAGCCATGCCCTTACGCAAAATGCTCTGGGCGCCCTGCACGTGCGAAGTTCACGCCATGCTTCTGCATGTACGCTCCAATCATGTCGGCAATGTCCTGCCAAACGATTCGTTTTGAGATCCCAGGCTCCGAATGACTGAATGCAAGGCAGGTCATGCTGGGTCATGGTCGCTCGCCTAGTACAGCAATTACATTCCATGTCTTGTGGATGCACTCGCATCTAGTACTTCGTTTCATCTCAGTCGAACCCAGCCTCCTACGTGTGATGGGCCTCACGCCAAACTTGTACTAAGCTTCCTCTGGAAGCCAAGAATCTCAAACAACATTACCCTGGCAAACCATATATAAGCTACGCCTATACGCTGAAGCTCAAACCATGGTGCCCATGCATGAAGTCCTGGTCGAAACCTCGCAGCAAAATGGACCGGACCTGGCCGCTTTGCAGTGCAGAGCAGGTGATCAAACAAATCCTTGACAGAGAACAAAGAATTGCGGGGCTTAAGGTTTCAGGATGTGAGGGCGGCGATGCTTTTGGAACTTCATCAACCTGTTGATCCTTACCGAATGTGCTTGAAACCCCGATGTTGTGAAGGAAGGTGTCTTTGCTATTTCCCGCGCCCTTTAAGTAGAAAAGACCGGCGGGCTGGTGGACGAAGTCAGCATTCCGGAACTTAGGGGTTGAACATGGCCCAAGCACGGCATAGCTTTCAAGTCGACTGCGCACCATCACTGTCACGTCGAAGCCGAAACCGGCGATGAAGCCAGCACACCTGCGTGGTGTGACGTAAAGTCGCAGACTCAGAGTTGCCCTAAGTTGCCTTTAAGCAGATGGCGCACGCAGTGCAGGCACATCTTCTGTCGAGGCCCAGAGTGCCAGCACCTGACTTCAACTTACCTCTCGGTAGCCTGCCAGTGTACAGGGAACTCGGTCGCTTCGCGCAGCCCTTCTCAAGAGAATGTGCAAAATGCACTGCCGAAGCCAACTTCCACTTCCCGTTCAGCTGATGGCCTAAACCCGAAACCCGTCCGGCTCGCGATCTCAGACTTGAAAGCTCTATACTATCTCTGCAAGTCCTATGTATGAATCGGCGTCAACAGCTCTTGACCGACAGCTGAAGATGATTCTCAGGATGAATCCAGGACTTCCTCAATGCTTTGTATCTTATAGCGCACTCTGTAAATGGATCCCCTTTGGAAGCTTTGGAAGTTGTTTTCAGCAGCGCGCGGCGCGCGGCACAGCCGATGGGATCTCCGAACGCCCGCTTGGCAGTTCGTTCCACGCGTGTAGGAAAGGGGCGCTGGTCAACGACGACCTTTTCTGCCCGCGCAAACGTACCTGAATCGGTTTTTGCCCATGGAGCATGGGTACCTTTGGGGAGGATGGGGGAGGTTTTCGCATGCCACACACGAAATTTTTCACACAACATTACCATTCATTAATTGCCTCAGCGAGCTCGTGCACAGCAACTACAGGATTTTGGGAAACTACACTAAATACAGGCCGAAAAGGTATCACAGGCAGCTTGCACCGGCCTTTGGGCAGCGATTGTAAGGGGCAGGACACCCAGACATCGTCGCAGTTTGCCCCTCCAGGCGCCCCCCCTTCCCCCCTTGGCCCCTTTGTGTTTGTAATGTCTTTGTGGTTTCTTCGAGCTTGCAAGCGAGCACATGTGCAGCATTTTTAGCTCCACCTTTTCCGCGCCTTCTTCCACCATGCCAAGTCCCGCACAATGTCTTTTTCGCTTGCGTCCTTCTGTGTATGTATCAAAAAAATGAATATATATATATATATATACATATAATATACGGTCCCGGGCTGCCCACCCCCCACCCCCATGGTATCCCCCCCCCATCCTCCCCCCACCCCCCACCTCGTTGGTGTGGGTGTGGCTGGGGGGTTCGGGTTTCAGGGTTTAGGGTTTCAGGATTAAGGATTAGGCCTACCCCCTGGCCCCCCCTTGGTCCACACGCCCGTGCGTCAGCGCAAATGCTGTGGTGAATTGGATACCATTGACAAAAGACTACGAAGTCTTAGAACAGGCTCTTCACTGCAGGATCGTGCGCTCTCGGAGACCTGCAGGAAGTCAGAACGTGGCCAACCAAAGACGCATAAAGCCACCCACCCACCCACCCACCCACCCACCCACCCACCCAGGGCTCACACGAACCGAGCCGGAAGGGAACCGTGGCCCCAACGCGCCAAATGCACTGCCTTTGCAGCAAAGAATTCCCCATTGTCAGGCTGCAAAACAACCGGAGCTCTTCAAGAATGACACAAAAAGAAGAAGACGCAGAAGCAACAGGATTTAATTGACCTAGCGGTTATAGGTCCTAACCGGTGAATAAACATTATTCGTGGTTGCATCGAGGTTCTCTACCAGCGGCAGAAGCTGCGAGGCGCTCCTCACGGCACAGGCTCCAACGGGGATGACCGATTCTTTCATTGTGGCTGACCCTCAGCCCTTACAGCACCTCTGGCGAAGAGGTTCTGGAACAGCCGCAGGAAAGACTTCCAATGAAGACCCCAAGCCTCAGCGCTTCTCGCGTGCGCTGCACGTGCGCTGTCCGTGCGCTGTGCTGTTTATAGCTGGGGATTCTTGATTTGTTTAAATTATAAGCCCGTTAAAAAATCCTGAAACCAATAAAAACCATTAGAAAACTTAAAAGTCAAAAGAAAACCTATGCCTAAAAACCCTAGACCCTAAACCCTAAACCCTGAACCCTCAACCCTAAACCCTAAACCCTATCAAAACCAACAGAAAACCAAAAGAAAGCCAATAAAATCCAATATAAGACCAAAGGAAAACCCTAAACCCTAATAGAAAGCCAATCAAAACCAATAGAAAACCAATAGAACACCAATAAAAACCAATAGGAAACCAATACAGAACAATGGAAAACCAATAAAAACCAATAGAAAACCAATCGAAAACCAATCGAAAACCGATATAAACCAAAAGAAAACCTATAAAAGCCAATAGAAAACCACAAGAATACCAACCAATGGAAACCCTAAACCCTAATAGAAAAACAATCGAAACCAACAGAAAACCAATAGAACACCAATAAAAACCAATAGGAAACCAACACAGAACAACAGAAAACCAATAAAAACCAATAGAAAACAAATCGAAAACCAATATAAACCAAAAGAAAGCCTATCAAAGCCAACAGACAACCACAAGAATACCA